CCTTTTGTACCAAAAAACAAGAGGCTCGGGGGCTACACTCAATGAGTGCAATTTTTTTGCAAAACTGCACTTGCTGCGCTCAACAGAAAAGAACTCGGAAGATATCAAGACGTAAAGACCCTCTAGCTTTTTGTGCCAAATAGCAAGAGGTTCGGAGGCTACGCTCACTGAGTGCACTTTTTTCAGCAAAAGTGCACATCAATCAAAAGAAGAATCAAAGAAGACCATCTCAAGATTTCACTTCAAGAAGAACCCGGATCAAGTCTACAACAACTCGGCCCTTGAAGCTCAATCATGAAATGCTCGGGGGCTTGTCGATGGGGAACCCTACGGGCAGGAATATAGAGGTGACTGCCATATGAGATTAGGCGTGGAAAGGCGTCATGCGAGCGCCTAGAGGCCTGTGGCAGATGCCGGAGCAGCAAATCGAGAGGAAGGCGGAATCGGGCGGGGAATCGAGTGGATGCAATGAAAACTAGCGGGAATCGACCGCGCGCCATGAAAATTGGGCACGAAATCGACTGCGCGTCCGCACTAGAAGGAGAAGGGCAGGAATCGACCCCTTATATGTTGTTGCACGCGGCTAATCTCCTGCTCGGGAGCTTTTACCGCGGGTGCGGGCGTGAAAGGTCCTAATGGCTAGAGGGGGGGTGAATAGCCTAATAAAATTCTACAACAACACTTAACAAAATGTGTTAGACAATTTTACGGCGAAGCGAGTGTTGCGCTAGCCTACTAAAATGCAAGCCACCTACCACAATTCTATTTCGAATAGTGTATGTCCACACAATAGCTATGACACTTAGCTAAAATAGTGTGCTCTCAAAAACTAACTAAAGAGCAACACTAATCAAACAAACAAGCTCTCACAACTAGCTACACTAAAGAGCTTGATAACTAGTTTGCGGTAATGTAAGAGTGAGCAAGAGAGTTATACCGCCGTGTAGTGGTAGGAACCAATCAATCACAATAATGAATACCAATGTAGACCAATCACCTCGGAATCAAATGATGAACACAATGATTTTTACCGAGGTTCACTTGCTTGCCGGCAAGCTAGTCTTTGTTGTGGCGATTCACTCACTTGGAGGTTCATGCGCTGATTGGCATCACTCGCCAAACCCTCAATAGGGTGCCGCACAACCAACACAAGATGAGAATCACACAAGCCACAAGCAATTTACTAGAGTACCTTTTGGCGCTCCGCCGGGGAAAGGTCTAGAACCCCTCACAATCACCACGATCGGAGTCGGAGACAATCACCTCCTCCACTCAATGATCCTTGCTGCTCCAAGCCGTCTAGGTGGCGGCAACCACCAAGAGTAACAAGCGAAATTCGCAGCGAAACACATCACCAAGTGCCTCTAGATGCAATCACTCAAGCAATGCACTTGGATTCACTCCCAATCTCACTATGATGATGAATCAATGATCTAGATGAGTGGGAGGGCTTTGGCTAGGCTCACAAGTATGCTATGTCAATAGAAATGGCCAAAAGTCGTTTCCAGTAAGCTCCCCGAGGCATGTTTTTTTGACCGGACGTGTCCGGTCCACCTTGACCGGACGCAACCAAATCGTCCGTGCTCAACCTTTCAGCCAATCGTGTCGGCCCGACAACCGACCGACGCAGACCTTTTTCATTGTCCGGTCGATGAGCAACGACCTTGACATCATTCGATCAACTCCATTTCAACTCTTACTTCTTCACCCTTGCTTAAGTGTACCCAACCACCAAAATTTTGCATCCGGCGCATGAATAGAAAATAGACATTTCATTTTCTCGAAGCGCCGAATCCCGCTTTCGAGAAAATGAAATGTCTATTTTCTATTGCGCCGGATGCAAAATTCTTGGTGGTTGGCACACTTAAGCAAGGGTGAAGAAGTAAGAGTTGAAATGGAGTTGATCGAAATGATGCTGGCGTCGGTCTACTGATCGGACGCTGGGTCACTCAGAGAGAGGGACCCAAACCCATCTGAACCCTGCAAACACCTTGTGCACATGTGTTAGCATATTTTCACAAATATTATCAAGGGTGTTAGCACTCCACTAGATCCTAAATGCATATGCAATGAGTTAGAGAATCTAGTGGTACTTTGATAACCGCATTCCGATACGAGTTTCACCCCTCTTAATAGTACGGCTATCAAACCTAAATGTGATCACACTCTCTAAGTGTCTTGATCACCAAAATAAAATAGCTCCTACAAGTTATACCTTTGCCTTGAGCTTTTTGTTTTTCTCTTTCTTCTCTTCAAGTTTAAGCCCTTGATCATCTCCATGCTATCACCATTGTCATGTTATGATCTTCATTTGCTTCTCTACTTGAAGTGTGCTACCTATCTCATGATCACTTGATGAACTAGGTTAGCACTTAGGGTTTCATCAATTTACCAAAACCAAACTAGAGCTTTCAGGGCGCTGCAGCTTCGCGAAGAGAGGAGAGGAAAAGAGGCCGCGGCGGTGGCCCTGCTTCTTGGCCGCGGAGGCAGCTCCTTGCTCGAGTCCACTGGCAGCGCGCCCCTCCCGCGAGTCCGCCCTTGCATCCCGCCTGGCTGTGCGAATCCGCCCCTGCATCCCGCCTGGCTGTGCGAATCCGCCCCTGCATCCCGCCTGGCTACGCGAGTCCAGGGTCTGTCCGCACCTGCTCGCCCGCCTCCGTCCCGTCTGCCTTGTATGCTCCCTGCCTCCTATCTGGTCTTCCTCTGCTTCCCTCATTTCTTTCCCTCTTCCCTCTGTTTGTTTCCCTCTTTCCTCTGTTTCTTTCCCTGTCTCTCGTGTTTGTTATATAGAGGTGACTGCTCGAGTTCTTTGTTACAATGGCAAGTCCATCTTCCATCATCAGCAGCTATGATCCCAGGACTGATTTGTTGCTATTAAGTGATTAGAGATTCAGATTCTCTATTTTACTACTTTATATGTTGTGCACTAGCACTCTGGTAGCATTATTTATTATGGTATTACATGCTAAGACTTGGCAATATTAAGGTATGATTTGCTTCTGAATTTTAGTAGCACTGCATTATATATTTAGATGATCATATGACGCCTTACAATGTGTGTATGGCGTCGCCTAGGCGTCGGCCACAAACGCCTAGGCGTTGTGAAGGGCACGGCGCCTCAAAAACATGGCGTGTAATCATATCAACTGGCTCCTACACATACACAGATAGTACAGCACTATGCTATAAAATGCTACACACATATCCTTCTTAAATCCTTCCAGAAAGATCTGGACTTTGTGTGCATAGAGCACCCATCAAAGCTCCTTGAAGAGTAGAGATGGCATGAGTTGTTACAAAAGTTGCCATATCATTTTAATCTTAAGTTATTTATTATGTGGAGAATTTTAAGTGACTTTTAAATGTTGTACTTAGAATTAACAAATGTCAGTGCTAATCAACCCTTTTTTTTGAATTGCTTGCCTTTCATTACCATAAACCAGTGTTTTTAAGGCGTCGCTTAAGCTTATGCGTCAGGGCGCTCCAGGCTCGCCTTAGGGGTAAGGCGGCGCCTTGTCGCCTTATGCGCATGCTGATGCCCCCTCAATTTCGTCCTCTCCTCGTCGATTCTGATGCTGGCCCGCTCGATTCCGTCGTCTCTCGTCGATTCTGGTGCTGGCCTGCTCGATTCTTCCATCTCCCTTTCGATCTGGAAGGGGACGGCGGCGGCTGTAGAGCTGAGTGATGAGTAGCGAGGGAGGGGAAGCAGAGGGACGGAGGGAAGCAGAGCAGCGCATCTGGCGGAGCAGAATAGCAGCAGGGAGAATGAGAGAGAGGGGAGCGATGGTGCTAGAGCGAATCGGGAGGGGAGCGCATCTAGATGAAGCCACCATGCCAGGAGAGGGGGGGGGGTCACATGGGCTCCCTCGTGGGCTGGGCCAATCCATTTCTTATTTCTTACCTTTTCCTTTTTCCCTTTTCTTTTTTCTTCATCAACTACTTCTCTAAGCTGATGTTTTAAGTTTTCAATTCTTAAGGCATCTCCTCACCTCACGCTTTAGTCGCTTAAGCGTAAGGCGGTAGACACCACGCCTTGCTTTACTGCCTTGAAAACATTGCCATAAACCGACCGAGGCTTCAAAGAGTACCAGGTCGAGCACACATACTGGAGTTACATGCGACATCTCTGTTCGATGAGTGCTCCAAACTTGTTTAGCTAAAACATGTGCTACTTTATTACAAGATCTACTAATATAAGTAAAAGAGAAATCTTGAAAGGCAAGCCTGAGGTCATCGATTTCCTTCAGCACCGGATCAATGACAGATCACTGGTCATCCTTATTCTTCCACAGGTTGACGAGCTCCAAGCAATCGGTTTCTAGTCATACCTTTTGTACACCTTGTTGCATCGCCAAAACTAGCCTGTCTCGGCACGCTAATGCTTCCATCATACAAGCATCAAAGCCACGATCATACCAGCGTGCCTGTGCAGCTTGGAAGGACCCCCTGTGATCCCGAATTATGCAGGCCGTCGCCCCACTGTGTTTGTTCTCACTGAAGGTGTCATCAGAGTTTATTTTGAACCAGCCTTGGCTTGGTGCCATCCACCTCGGGGCATCCTCATTAGCAGCTTGCTGTTGCACCGGGTGAGACAACTGCCAATGGTCATCGTGCCCAGATAACAGCTTGTTGGATGGTCATCGACAGTTCCCCATGCCTTCTTATGTTTCGCATCATCCACAAAGCCCACATTCCGCACAAAATCACTGCTGTATCCCAACGAGAACAAATGCCTGAAATCAGGTCGCTAGCCCAGGTATCAGGATTCAGACTTGGGATCTTGACACCAATTCCCACTCGCATTTGATGCCAAAATTCTCTAGCCACCGAGCATTGCACCAGGATAAGCAAGGTGCAATTTGGGTTTACACTTTGGCTTATCTCAGTTCATCAAGGGAACGTGGTCATGAGTCAATGCTTGCTAAGTTATCATGCGCTGTGCATTTTTACAGCCCTGCTGTCCCACTAACTATTATACGATATTTTGTCTACCAGGTAGCATGAGTGTTGATACTTTTGAAGAACAGTTTGGCGACGAATATCCTACTGGTGTCTGGGGTAATTTCAAGAAAGAAATTTCTTCTAACATATCTGACATTGTTGTCGCACTTGCTTCTTTCCATGGTGATTTTCAGTGATGCGCTATTTACTATTTCACATTTATGTTCAGTTATCACTAGCTAATGGCAGTTATGGTGTCCAGGTGAATCAAAGTACTTTGCATGCACAGGATTTTTCATTAACTATGATGGCTGTCCGACTATTCTGACCTCAGCCAGCTTGGTTAGGGACCCCGATGGCGCAAATGAGATTGTGAGCGGCTTAAGGGTTCGTACTTCGAATTTTACTGTGATTCTTGTTCGTCCAAGACACGGCTTAAGTCTCATTGTATTGTTTGCAGATTGAGGTGTTGCTTCCAAACAAAGAATCTGTAGGGGAATTGGAACACACTGTAGGGGAATTGGAACATTATAGTTTACATTACAATGTTGCTCTAGTCAGCGTCAAGAATTACAATGTTGATTGTCCTGTGAAGCTGGAACATGAGTCGATATGTTATGATGAAACGGTGGTAGCTGTGGGCCGTTGCTTTGAATCAGGTATATTAATGGCTACAAGTGGGGAATACATCCAAGACTACGGCGAGGTGTCAAGCGATTTGGATTGTGAATTGCTTTGGTACACTACGTGTAGGACCACTAAGGTAGCACCCTTGCCTTTTCTTTTTTAATTGCCTACTCTAGCCTTCCCAACTTGTTTGGGACTGAAAGGCTTTGTGTACTTTTATCATAATATGATGTACTTAGCCTATACTTGGCGTCACAACTGACCTCTCTATATAACCTTGTTAGGCTGGTATCGGAGGTCCCCTTGTTGATTTGGATGGAAAATTTATGGGCATCAATTACTATGATACAGAAATAGGAACCCCATTTCTGTTTTTTCTTGATATCCGGAAAATTTTGGATGATTTGAAGACAAAAAAGTAAGTGTGGATTTCTCTTTTGGTATTTAAGTTGTTATGTTAGTGCTGGTACGCAGGTTTAGTTTTGCACATTACTGCAAGATTTGTTTGAACATTTGATCAATAATCTAGTTGGAGGTAAAATCAACATAATATCTGTAAATCTTGTATTCTGCGTGTTTGACAGGGCGATGATTAGTGGTCATGAGGGCCGTCTGGAAGATGACAACGGACCACCAAACATGTATGTAGATACATCTCATCGATCCCACTATTATTATGTAGTAATAACCATATATTGTTTAGTAATTTGCTGATCTGATGTGGCAGAACCTCCTAAGAAATCGGGCCTACGTGCACCTATTGATGTCTCAACAGACCTCAGATAGCGTACACAAGTTCCCAACAACTTAACAGGTCTGTCGGGTGTCCTCGGGAAACCCGAATCATCCACGAATCTTTTCCAAACAGGATCCTAATCACAGTCATTGCATATTACAACAGTTTTCAATATACATATCAGAGATTATAAAGCGGAAGACTTAAGTTTTAATATTACAAACCAGTTGTTTCAAACTTACAAAACCATAAGTGTCATACAACCATAGTAGCGGGATAATATTACATTAACATTATTTATTTCACACAAACTAGTACCTTGTCCAAAGGCCATTCATCATTTCTCATCGTCATCGACTTCAAACACTGACATGCAGCATGGATCAAAATAAGCCTGCGCATGCGACTCACCTGCAACAAGGGTTAACAAACCCTGAGTACAAAAATACTCAACAAGACTGACCCGACGAAAAAGGGCGAATGTCTTAGGGATGCAGGTGTTGGGTCAAGGTAAGGATGTAGAAAGATTCAAAAGTTCTTTGCCAAAAGCTTACTATTCTTAATCCTAGTTTCAAGTTTTACCCCTAAATATTTTAGTTCAATATCTCCAACTAAGTGTTCATATCCCATATTCCAATCCTTCCCATTCCATTCTTTTTCTCATGTTTTAGTAATTCACCAGTCATGCATTGCTTCTGTAATGAATCGACTCTCCATATCCGCGGAGCACCGGCAATTCGAATTGATTCAAGTCCCAGCTGGTGATTTCTTATCACACGATATATGTAGAACTTAATCTTGTATATACCAATCTCGCTACCGGATCTTCCCATACTAAGCCGTCTCCACGCCACCCGAGAGCACAGCACACCTCAAATTCGGCCACATTCAAGCCACGAGGGTACACACTACTCCCGCCATCTCACTACTCCCAGTGCGTGGGCATTTGTCTTAGTATCGGATTAGCCGAAGTAGGCTTACCGGAGTATGTGACCAGTACTACAAAGTGTCTCGTTCAGAAGATCCACAATGAGTGACCTTTAAGCGACATAGCCGGCAACATTACCCAACATTCAAGATAAGCCACCCGACTAGTCTCTAGTTCATTCTATCTTCTTTCTTTCTTTCTTTGGCCAGTATGCCATCTTTGATTGTATCGAAACTTTTACTTTGAAAGCCTACCATAAAGCATACTAAGCATTCTACGCCTTTATAAATGAAATCATCTTCAAGGATGGTAAACAATTAACAAGGTAGGCAATGCATCAAGTAGGTAACATTTGAATAAATCAACTTAATGCAATAAGTAACATAGATGATAAACTTTTCAAAGTAAACAAGGTAATGGTTTAATGCATAAACCGGGGCTTGCCTTCGTTGATTTATCTCGTGTTCGGATCAAGATTATTAAATTATCGAATCCCGTGACAACCGGGGATTCTTCCAGGACTTGCTCAACTAGAATCGTTTCACTCTCGGGTTCTACACGAAATGATAACATATGCTTTAACATGATGATAATGTAAACATGATGCTTTCACGGTACATGAAATGTAAAAACACCCCGAATACGATTTTCCTTCACGGTACAGTTGCAAGCCAACAAAACCAACTTGTAAATCTACCGTCAAGGATCACACATGTAACTTGACCAAACTAATCTTGAAACCCTACTAGTCACAAAACATGATCAAAACAAGATCAAACACGAGTCAAACACTTAAGGTTTGCTTTTATTTATTTTTGAATTAATTTGGAAATAATTCCAAAAATGAACTTGTTCCAAATGACCTTAAAATTTTATGTAAGCTTCCTTATGACAAATTAGTGTACCAAAACAAATTTCATAATTTTTGGAATTATACAGTTGCCTACAAAAATTATAGAAATTGCATTTATTAATTAATGGACTGAATATTTGAACATTAAAAATTTATTCAAATTTCATGTTTCAAATTTTTAAACCATAATAGAGCATGCACAGAAGCTACACAAAATTTTTCAGAATTTTTGAAGCTACAGTTGCAAGCCAACAAAACCAACTTGTAAATCTACCGTCAAGGATCACACAAGTGACTTGACCAAACTAATTTTGAAACCCTACTAGTCACAAAACATGATCAAAACAAGATCAAACATTAGTCAAACACTTAAGGTTTGTTTTTATTTATTTTTGAATTAATTTGGAAATAAGCCCAAAAATGAACTTGTTCCAAATGACCTCAAAATTTTATGTAAGCTTCCTCATGACAAATTAGTGTACCAAAACAAATTTCATAATTTTTGGAATTGTACAGTGGCCTACAAAAATTATGGAAATTGCATTTATTAATTAATGGACTGAATATTTGAACATTAAAAATTTATTCAAATTTCATGTTTCAAATTTTTAAACCATAATAGAGCATGTACAGAAGCTACACACAATTTTTCAGAATTTTTGGAGCTATGATTATTTTCCTACAAATTTCCAAAGATTCAGCACTATTCAAAATCAGAAAATAACAAAAGGCACTATTCTCTCTCTTGCTCTCACTGACAGCCGGTTCCCACCTGTCATCCCCAACCTCGGGCATTGACTGTGGCTGCGACGGCGCTGATCGGCGCAAACTCGCCGACGATGAGCCCAACAGTGATGGCCAAAGCACTAACATGTTCACAAGAGCTAGGCGCATCGATTAGTGACACTTTGGAGGTTGATTACGGCATGGAACAAGGCTAACACCGGCCATGGCGGATGCGGTGGCACGGCGGCGTTACGCCGGCGAAACAAGGCCAGTAATGGTGAAACAGAGAGTTCAGGAAGCATTAGTGGCTCACCCCGATCGTGTTGAAGCAACAGGCGAGATCGGAGAAGCTATGGGGACGCGTTTCGACGGTGACCGTGATCACGGCAGAGCGGACCTCGTCGACGATAGCGTTACGGCGACTGCAGTGGGCAAAACGAGCAGGCAAGAGTGGAATAAGCACTACAGCATCGAGGCGAAGCCATAGAGTCAACAATCAAGGGCAACGGCTCACCGGATGAGGCTGGCCACGGTGAATCGACGTTTCCGTTGAGGTCGCCGGCCGCGAGGAAGATGAACGTGGACAGCGAGCTCTCGGCGAACTCAGGCGGTAGCAATAGCTCGGTTGGATGCGCGAGGAGCAGGCAGAACTAGAACACGGCTTTTACGGGGCTTGCTTGCGCTGAGGAGATGAGAGAAGCTCGCCGGAGTTGAGACGGCGGCGTCGGAAAAACAGAGGGAGGGAAGAAAAATGAATGGCGACGTCTGGGCTTTATAGCGCGGCCAGGAGCGCGCGGACTCGACACGCAGAGTGCTCCTCGTGCCAGCGCGAAGCCAAGGGCGGTCGCAGACACGCCTGGAAGGCCGGAGAAAGGACGCCGGCGGTGGGGCGGTGGTCGGCTACTGTTCCGAGAAATTACAGAATTGCCACCGAGTTCATTTTGCAAATTACTTTTAAATTTTCTAAAGAAGTTGAAAATCTCCAAAAATGAAAGTTGCTCAACTTTTCAAACTCTACAACTTTGCTTCAATGAACATTTTCAAATTCTGCCTCCATTTTGAAATTTGAATTTGGGGTGCATTTGAGTATTTGAATCATTTCAAAATTACTCCAAATTTTATATGTAAACTTGAAAAACTTTGAATACCAAAGTTGATCCACATAAAATAATCTTCAACTTTGCTTTTTGCCTCAACCCCAAATTCCACATGGATTTTGAATTAGTCAAAAGGGGCAAAAATGACTTTTATAATTTGAATTTGAATTTAAATTTGATTTGTCTTTCTTTTACTTTAACTTTGATTTTTGACCAGTAACATGGCCCATTAGGGTTATTTGAGTCAAATGACACATGGCCTCACATGATCACATGAAATTTGACCCTTGTGGTCATGATCTTTATTTAGGGTTTTGAAACACATCACATGAAATAACAACATTATGAAATAAAGCTTATTTAGTGAATGCATTCAAAATTTTCTACTCCATAAATGCTTTGTAATGCATATGATGACATGTCAAATTTTAGTGCTAGATCAAAACACCAGAGGTGTTACACCTGATGGTATCGTTGAATGGCAGCTGGGTATTGCCTGCCTGCCTGATCCAAGGTGATATGGATGAAGATAATGATTAATGTGCAGCCCTATGCATAATATGGATGAAGATGAAGATTAACGTGCAGCCCTAGGCACTTCGTTTACTCCGCTGAATTGCTATCTGCATGCCGTAAACTTTTATCTGGATTGGATTGGAATCCATGTAGTATCTTAATAGAATATTTGAACTGCTGTCTGTTGCTAAGATATTTGTTTTGGTTGGTGCTCCTTGCTTGAGAAACATGACCTTTACCACTAATCAGCAACGTATTATTATATGCTCATAATCAAAATTTGGCGTCGGGCAACATTAGCTTCGGCAAATTGGTACTATCATATTATTTTACGCGGCGTTTATTTTCAGGTTGCATCGGAAGCTTGAACCTATTGTGCGGTTTTGGGGATAGAGATACTCTTTCATATCTAGTTGGGCCTGCATTATACGGTGAAATTTAGGCCCCCGAATCGGCCCATTCCATTGTAGCTCCCAGGCTCTGGGATGCAACCGCCGCATGGTGTGATGGAAATTCCTCGAGTGTGCAAACAATTAAGAACTGTTTATATGGGTAGAGCTGTTGAGTTTTTTTTTTTCGACGAAAGAAGAATTATATTATATATGATAGGTAGGTGCATTGAGATATTACAAGCACTTTGGATTATATGAAAGTACCTACGCTGTGAAAAGCATAATTCAAAAACTAACCTTAGATGCTTTGTGACCGCACGGCAAACACTCAGCAACGAAAGACGGCTTGAGAACAAATGCCCGACGAACAACGGCCAAAATTCATGTAGGCAGAATTGATGATCTTCTTTCTGGTGTTTTCCTTCTTCTTTCTGCCACTGAAAAATAAGGAAGACTGATCTGAAAATTGTTCTCCCAAGTCCTTCATTGTGGCAAGATCTAACCATAGCAAAACGAAGAGACTGGAGAAAATTATTCCATGGCGGAGACATCATCTCCGCCTTGATGTCGCCGTCCGGAAATAAAAGTCTCCATGTCGTCATGTCGATGAAGATGCTGACGCCGAAGTTGTCGCCCTCATCTTTAGCAGAGCCGTCATGGAGAAGACGATTCCATCCATCCCCTTCACCGTCACCGGAGAGGATGAGGAGATAAACTAAAAATACCAAGAAATTTGGCATGGAGAAACACTAACCCTAAAGATTCGATCTACTAGGAAAAACTTATTAAAAACAATGGATCCCAGTTCCTTCAGCCCCTGACGTGATGTCGGAGGAGAAGGTAGGGGGGCCAGCGGTGGTGGATGACGGAGGAACGACGGCGGCGGCGGCCTAGGGCAGTCCATCCGTCTCCTGTGCGAGTCAGATTCATAGGAACCATCATTATGATTATTAACCTCCATCACATAGACTGGATAGGAAGAAAAGTTTAGTTGCTTTAAAAAAAACTCGACCGGGGGGGGGTAAGACAGCCCCCGGCCATTGTACTTAAGAAGAAGACTTTCTCACGCAGGTCGAGAAAAATCCCCGAACCGCTGCCCCACCCCGACACAGGGGCACCGTCACCCTGTGAGAACTGAGCCGAGCCTAACGACCTGTGCTTTGGCCGTGGGACAGACGAGAAGATTTTTTTTAACCACGATATAAATACCTGAAAATTCGCTCCCATGAGGAGTCGAACCCAGGACCTGTTGAGTGCCACTGAGGGGCTCTAGCTAATTGGGCTAGAGGCTCGTTGGCAAAGTTTAGTTGCTTTCATTAACTAGGTAGTTTGTAAATCTCAGGCAAGAGATTTAGGGCCTCTTTGGTTCATCCTAAGGGCACGTTCGGTTAGCAGTGAATCCTGCCCTGGATTCGTTCATGCTTGGAATGCTTGTCAAATTTATATAAGTTTTGAGCGGTTGGAATAATTCCTGGTGCATTCCTGATCAACCGAACGGGCCCTAAGGCTTCGTTTGGATGGAGGAGTATTGGCGTGGTTAGAGCCCCAAACCACGTGTGCTGTGGAACGAAACCCACGTCGGGGCGAGATCCCCCGCTCAGCCAAAAATTGCATTTGGCTGGGCGAGTGTTGCCGAGGATCGCGGACCGATACACGTCGATACTCGGGGGCCAGAAAAATCCCCACCCGACTCGTGGAACGGTACGCTCGCGACTCGTTGCCTCGCGTGCGAGCGCTGCTCCGACCTCCTCCTCGCCGGCGCCGTCCGACCTCCTCCTCGCCGGCACCGCTCCGACCGTCTCCTCGCCGGCGCCGCTCCGAGTGCCTCCTCCCTGGTGTCTGGCCCCTCGTGCGCTGCTCCACCCCGCCCCTGGTACGCCGACGCCGCCGCATCCACATCAATCTCGTTACCCTGCCGTCCACTTCCCTCTGGCGGCCCTTGTAGAGCTTCGGTGAGCCTCTCCCTTCTCTTCCCCATCTCATCTGTTCTGTAGAGTTGTTGCTTCACTTCTTATTTCAGTAGGGTTTTGATTTCACCTTTCTTTTGTCAGATTTGGATTATTCAGATCCGGTGAATCTTGGTAGCCACTTCTCTGTTGCGGCTAGGTGCCAAACCATTGGTAAATTCTTAGACTTCCTCCTATTTCTTGTTGGCAAACTGTCCTTCGAAGTTGATACAAGTATCCTATATAGTTCTGTGGTACAAGTGTTTGGTTGTCTAGCAGTCCCCTTTTTCAAGAATAGCTGTGAAACTGTTATTCGGTGATCATCATAGCATGCCTGTTGCAAAAAAAAAAGGGTAGTAGTAGTACCATTGATGCACAAGGTATCGAAACTGCTGCATCTTTTTTGCATGATGGCGACTAGCAATAACACAAGCTCTGTATGTATTCATTTGCAATTTGTACAGTGATGAAATGTTTGAGATTACAATGTCAGAAGCACGTTTTGCTCCTGTGAATTTATGACACAAAAAGCATCTTTTTATTGATATTGGAGAGGATCAGAGAACCCTGGTTGCTGACTGTCTAAATTCTGAATGTTCTTTGCATTTTATGTCTGCAGCAAAGAGGCTCGCCGGCAGTCCAGTACATCCTGCTTCAGCGAGACAAACAGGACTGGATACTTTGATACTTTAAATATGTACTGATGCAAATCCATAGCTGTTGGTGTTTAAGATTGCTTTGCAAAATACATTGTTTGCTGCTGGGACATTATTGGCTAATTTTTAACCTGGAAGAATGTTTTTGAAAATAAAATCAGTAGAAAACATGCATCGAGCTGTTCCCTCCCAGGCTATCAGTCCAAGTGTCCAAGTTTGAAACTAAATTTAGAGCATCTGCCTGAACTTGTAGTGGTAACGAGGACTTTTGTGTCTCAGTCAGGCACCCAGGCTAAGGCTATCAGTCCAAGTGTCCAAGTTTGAACCAAAATTCAGATCATCTGCCTGAACTTCTAGTGGTAACACCTTGTTCATCCCTAAAATTCCTTGCTGTTTCATTTGTGTATCAGTTTTTTGAATCATACGTATATTGATTACTAAAGTTAGGCTTGTGCTTTGCAGGTTGCAGGTTCTTGTATGAAAGAGATGGGTTGTCAAGTGTCGCCCTGAATTAAGGACTTGGTATCGAATCGATGTTTTTCCATTCTTGGGTCTGCTTGCTGGGATAGTTGATTCTCTTCTGCTTGGACATGAGAAGCTCTTGCCCAATTCCTTGAGAAATTGACCTGTTTCCGACGAGGTGATTGGCTGCGGCACCGAGCAAAGCACAAAACTGGTATCAATAATGTTTACTAGATCCCTCTGTAAAGCTGAAGTCAATGGCTGTGTGTTTTTTTGCTGCACAACCTTCATAATCTGCATTCGTATCTTTCATTCCAGTCATATATTGTAGGTAAAGGTAAAGAAATATATCTCCATGAGTCCATGGTTGTGTGTTTAATGTGGTGAATTCACTAAAATCATATTTTGTCACAACAATGGATGTTGGTGTGATAGTTTGGAAGAAGCGCTATTCGACTTTCTACAGTATGGCAGTGCTAATGTTGTAGCGTGGTGTAAATTATTTCCTGGTTTCAGTCTTTTATGTATACAACTTTTTTTACCTTCACAATATTGCAATCCTGAAGGATTACTAGCAGCCTGATTCTTGACTTTGGCCAAACAATATAGGATATGCACTGCACAGGTGTGGTATACAACTTCCAAATAGTAGCTGTTGTACCAAAAATTTCAAATGATCAAATATTGCCCTGAGCTGAAGAAATATCCATCACTAGTGCTCCTCCTTATATGCCATTCCTACTTTGCATTTTAGCTGTTAAGATAGACAAGCCCTGATGCTATTTAATCAGTTCATCCAAAATCACTTTTGTTAGGTGAGGAGGGAGGGGCTCGCGCAGAGGATCATAGCTTCGCATCATCTGGTTTCTCCATTCAGGAAGGTAAGAAAGTGAGAAGGGCAAAAGTCTTCAGACTAGTCTTGCTTTGGAGTCTAGACTTTTTTCTGTTGGGTACAAGTACTAGGTACACACCATCTTCAAGTTGTGGCCTTTGAATTCTGGTTTAGTAAGTACTTTAGTAATAATGGTGGTGATTACTGAGTCAAATCAAATTAAGCTCTAGCCACTACTAGCCTGCAGTAGGTAGTTGCAGAGGGCATACATCCACAAGCATGCATTTAGAGAAGGGATGCATGCAACTATCAGATTAAGTGACATTTAGAGAAGGGACGCAACTCACTTGCTAATTAAATTTACATCTTGTGATTGTGATCATTAGTTTATACATCCGGCCCAGGTGGGGTTGGCCGAGGCCCAATAAATTAAGGTTGCCCGGACGAGCAAGGTGGGATTATTCAGAGGCTCACACGGTCGCCGCCCGACTACAACTAGGCCACTTGGCCTCTTTGTTGCATCTTTGCCAGCGGTTAATAGTGGAGGATGTCCTCATCATTCCCACCCCCGTAAACAAGGGCCCAACTCTGATACCAAATGATGCATCCGGCCCAGGTGGGGTTGGCCGAGGCCCAATAAATTAAGGTTGCCCGGACCCCAACAGTTCTCAGGCACACCCACTCGGGGAAAGGCCCAATGTCCCTAAAAGACTAGTCCAATAGGGGAAGGGTAGCTCTCCCTTTTAAGGTGGCTTCCTCCTCCCAAGCTAAGCAAGGTGGGATTATTCAGAGGCTCACACGGTCGCCGCCCGACTACAACTAGGCCACTTGGCCACTTTGTTGCGTCTTTGCCAGCGGTTAATAGTGGAGGATGTCCTCATCATTAGTCCAAATCGTTATCACTTGCAGATTTCTAGGGGACGCAACTCACTTGCTAATTAAGTTTACATCTTGTGATTGTGATTTTTAGTCCAAATCATTATCACTTGCAGATTTCTACTGGTAGGTAACTATCAGCCTATCAGGTTTCCAAAATCTATTCCTGTTTTGGTTGATTTTTTTTAGACATTTGTTAACATGGCAACGGAATGCTAGCGTTAGAAAGCATAAAACAAGTTGAACCTTGGGAATAATCATTTAAAACTTAGTGTGAACATCCAGCTAGCTTGCATAAACTGAATATTCTAATTAACTCCAGACTTGAATCTGTCACTAACAGTGACAGATTTGTTAGCAGTGGGAATTTTCTTCTTTTTTGTTTGTGTAAAGACAGTTAGGAGTTAACTAAGTTTCCTGCTTTGGTCTTGCTTTGCAGGAACTGAAGGTATGAAAGATTTGTTTTCCAATATTGCTCATCAAAGGGAAGCAAGGTTGCGGTCTGTTTTAGCACGTGGATTGAAGACCAACAAAGATATTTAATTTTGCTATGAACCTAGTTTGTAACTTGTATAAAATGCTCTATTAAATTGTAGATGAGATGAGTCTTTGCAGATTTAGATCACGCAATGTTCCTTGTTTGCATCTGTTTTTTTTCAGAATTTTAAAAGAAAGGCTGTTATTTTATTCATTTTTTAGTTCCCAAAAATTATTGTTTGGTTGCTTTATTTTTCTGTTATTTTTTTGAACTTTAGAGATTAATGCTAGTACACTAGCTCAGTTTTTGGGCAATGTGCTAGCTTGGTTAGAACAATTTTATGTTTCTTCACTCCTCAAAGCCGCATCAACAGTGATGCAAGCCAAACAGAAAACGTGGGAGGGGATGGGAGCCTGACAAGGGGATTGGGTTGGCGCGCGGGGATCACCCAACCCTGTCGTGGGTTGCTTCTCACGTGGGTTTTGGTCCCCAGCAGCCAAACGAAGCCTTAGGTACTAGAATACCAAACCCTAAACCCTGTCACGTTATTTTTCTCACTACCAAGTCCCTCCTCTCTCTCTCTCTCCGTCCTTCTCAGCGGCGTGGCCTGGCCCCGCGGCACTGCAGTCGACCAAGCCGTCGCTACCAGCGTCGCGTGGCTACCGCTGCACGCGCTCTTCTGCGCCACCTCCATGTCCGTCGGCATCCATTTCTCCCGCCTCATCGTCTACCTCCTCTTCCTGCCCACCCCGCCGCGCACCTCGTCTCGCTCGTGTCCCTGCCCACCGCCGTGCTCACGCGGGCGCCACGGCCATTGCCACGATCAGCTCCTCAAGGCACAGCGCATCCTCGACGCCGTCCAGAATGAGCAGCGCACCACCAAGCGCCGCAGCACGGGACTCGCGAGGCCTGTCATTGCCGACTTGCCATCACCCCGACCACAACCTCCGTGCTCTAGGTGCTATCCGCTGACGTACGTCTCTGGCGCACCGCCGCACCCCATCCGCCTCGTCGACGGCCAGCTCGAGTGGATCGTTGTCGAGCCGGGCCACCGCACCGACGCCGTTGCTGCGGTGCTCTCCCGCTCCGTCCTCGACTTCCTCCATATCATCGGCCTTGGCCACTCCGTGAGCATGCGAATGCACACCCTCAGGTAGTACGCTGTACGCATATGCTCCAACCACGAGATGGGATCTCACGCATGCACGCTAATCGCCTCTCTCGCCATTCGGCATCGTGGGATCTCACGCACGCACGATTCCTTCCTGTCGAGTGTCGACGCACGCACGCACGACATCGTGGTGTTTGCCGACGAGAACAGCATCCACCATCCTCCGTCTGGTGGCCATGGTGCTAGGAGGAGTTCAGGGTGGCGCGGCCGAGGCGCGCCTCCGCGGCGGGGTCACTCCCCCCGACGCGGAGAGGCTGGTGGCGGAGTCCGGCGAGCGCGCCGTCAAGGCACTCGACGTCTGCAACGCGGTGCGCGACCACGACGGCGTTCCTCGACTTGCCTCCTCTGCGACCCGTCCCGCCGGAACGCCGCTGCCACGATGCTGCACAGGGCTGCCAGAGCCACCGCCGTAGCCAGCCGGGCTGCCACGCACATCTGACTCAAATACCGTCGCCCTCGGCCTCAGATGATATATGTGACAACATGTGGAAATTATTCTACAACTTTAGAAGCAGCAGCTGTTTTTTCTTTCTTTCTTTTTTCATTTTTGCTGAGCAAGGCCCGGTTATGTTCATTTACTGTATTGTGATCCCTTGTATTATCAACACATTTCCTATTTCCATTAAATATTTGATGATTTTAAGTTTTCATTTTTTTATCTGAAGGCCAAGGATGTAGTGAGTGGGAAAAAGGCACAGGAGGAATTCATAGATCCACGAGTTAGAGATAATGTTATCATAGAAGATTTCGTGTTAATACTGAAAATTGCAGTGCTTTGTGTTGCGAGTTCAAGTGTAGGGCACCCCACCTTGGATGTGTTTGAGGAGATGGACAAAGCCTTGAGAAATACGACCATCAATGTTCAAATTTTATCATCTATTGCATAGTCTTTTGAACTGTTCTGTTGTGGATCAATACTCTTGACTAATGTAAAAATGTTTTCTTTGGAAACAACACTGCTCTAAATGAATTTTAACCAATTAACTTAAAAACTAAATGAATGTTATTTGGAAACAACACTGCTCTAACCTTTGACACCCAAATTTTACATTACTCCCATTGAAGTTACACTGTTGCCTACAAAATCCTTGCATTCTAGCTACGATGGGGCGTATTAATATTGCCATTTTGCATACTAAAGCAAGGAAGGAGATGAATGCAGCAAATTTGGTCGGTCAATATGCAAACGTGTTGGATGTATAGATTGCATTATGCCTTCAGATATTACAACAGCCGCAAGGAAATTCCAAGGCCATACTTTCATCAAATGGGTAAAAGGCTCTGATGAAGATGCTCCGCGGTGAACAGATCTGACAAAGGTGTGGTTGCACTGTGGTGACTGATTTACTTGCAACACTATTAGTTCTATGATAGCAACTACCTTGCGCGGTTGCCCGCATGTTGATACTTAAGGTTCTGTATAAGCACTTGTAATTAAATGAAGTGAAGAATCTATATGTAAAATTCAGTCAAAATTTGGGCTAGGTGGGTGCAAGTTAGTATTAACAGGTTTTCCTGACTCTTGCACATGACTCGATATATATTATCAGAGTTCATTCTTCGTTACCGGAAAGTGTACAGCCACTACTTGCCTTTGCAGCTACCTGAAACACACTTGATTATATTCTCTTGCACTGCACATGGCTCTATATATATCTCAGACAAGATCACAAGAACATACCTGCAGTATTGCAAATCACCATAGCAGTTGTACTAACTCTTCTTGGACTTCCAGGAAGTAGGGAACCATGTGGAGAAGCAAGCATTAGGTTAACAGCTATATTTTTTGAAGCGAACCATGCACGAGAGCTGCCAATTATATTAAAAAGAAGATGAGTCCAGACGGGGTAAGAGGTTAACAGCTATAAGGTACCATTGTACCAATAATACATCCAAGTTAGCCACTGCTCTACATGAAAACAATTGTAACACTCTATACCTCCATCGTTGCATGCAAATGTTGTTCTGAATGCTGCTCCTCGTCATCTATTCGTCATTGACGTAATTTGCCTTCCAGAAAGAAACATAAAAATGATAAAATGTTGCCAAAAAAATACAAGTGGAACTCTGAAACCAAGCACCTCAATGAGAAATAGATCCCCAATGGTTTTGACAGGTTATATAACAAAATTAAGCACAGCAAGCAGCAGCACCAAACCCTATATTTGGTCTTTGGAGTCACTGATCTAGCCAAAATGTTGTAACAGGACAACTATTTAGCACCTAACAGGGCATTATCTAAGATTCACAATCAAACCTGTTTGATGCATTCTAGAATATGGTGATTTGTATATGCATCAATGCATGTGTACCTTTCACACTAAATTAATAAGAAAAATGACACGTGATGGTATAGGTTTCTGCACCTTTACATACTAAACAATCAGAAAATGCCTCACACTGGGTTAGTGTTCAGGTCATTGTTTAATTACAAACAAATCACCACTTACACATGTGCAAAAGTGGTGCTCCCATTGTTAATATATAAGGAAGTGGAGACAACTATTCAGCACCTAACAGGGCATTATCTAAGATTCACAACCAAACCAGTTTGATGCATGCTAGAATATGGTGATTTGTATATGATCCCCCACCAAACTTTACACTTTATGCATCATCATGTTAAAAAAGATGCATTCCTCTGAACTAAACCATTCATGAATAATGGATTTCGATGCATGTGTACCTTTCATACTAAATTAATTAGAAAAATGTCACGTGATGGTATAAGTTTCTGCACCTTTACATACTAAACAATCAGAAATTGCCTCCCGGGGTTAGTGTTCAGGTCATTGCTTAATTACAAACAGATCTGACCACTTACACATGTGCAAAAATGGTGCTCCCTTTGTTAATATATAAGGAGGTGGACACTAAAAGAGGGAGCAATGCTCTGCACCATGGTTTTCTGAAGAAGAAGCAGCACATCACAATCTCCCCACCACCACCTACACACACACAGACGATGAATCTCAGTTCTCAGGCTGGAGTACTGAGGAGAGGCGTCATCAACTCCCTAGTTGCCTTCTCTATCATAGTCGGCTTCATCATCTTGTTCTACCAAGGCCAGAAACTACAGCTGGTGCCAATGGCGGTCAAGCATAAACACCAAGAAATGCAGGCCAAGATGGCAGCTGAGCACCATGAACAACTTAGAGGGGAGCTCTCAGTCCCAGACCCCAGCAGGGAAGAGTGCAATTGGTCCACAGGACGGTGGGTCTACGACAACGTGTCCCGGCCATTGTACAATGGGCTCAAGTGTGCCTTCATCTTTTCTGAGGTGGCCTGTGACAAGTATGGCAGGAAGGATGTCATGTACCAGCAGTGGAGATGGCAGCCTCATGGATGCGACCTTCCAAGGTATGATAATCATAAACTTTCCTAGTAGAGTTGGAGTATTTCTAGCTCAATTTTGTTCTTCTGAATCCAAAAGTTCCACCCAATCTAAAGTTGCAGAACTAGAACAAGAAGCTGTGTCAATGTCAGGATTTTTAAATAGTAACCTTTTTTTGTTGAAGCAGAGATACATTCAGATGCTCTATAACTGGAACAGAAAACAAAGGATAGTATTGCAGAGGGGAAAAAATCTTTAATGGTTACTTGTTTCAAAAAAAAACTGTGCTAGTTAAGATTGGAAGTTTTATCTAATTGCGGTGGATAGCTGGGTGGCCAACCAAAAACCAACTGCCATGAATATACTTTAGCTGGCCATCACATAAGGATACTAACTGGCAGTGAAAGACCAAGGTCGAGGAAAACTATATCTCTTCTTATTTTATGAGTAATTACATTTGGTAACCCTGGAAGGCTAAAAGGGGATCAAATCAAGCATAAAATCCAGTCATTGACAGGTGGAACTCTGCTAAGGCTACTTGTATATGGTGCATGGTATTTATGACACATTGTCAGCATAAAAGGGCATCCAAAGTTTTGAAAAAACTCGTATATGGTGCATGGTATTTATGACACATCACCTGGATTTGGGTTTAAACAGATTTGATGCCATCACGCTACTTGAAACGCTGAGGAACAAGAGGTTGGTGTTCGTGGGTGACTCTCTCAATAGGAACCAATGGGTTTCCCTGGTGTGCATGGTGGAGGCCTCTATACCTGACGTTAGGCACAAGATGCAAATCACCAATGGCTCACTCCTTTCCTTCAAGGCATCGGTATGTTTTCCTTAATAAACCTACAGGTTACAGAAACCAACAATTTCGATTAGCATATTATAAAACACTATTAATTTATCATTTCAGGAATACAATGCAACCATAGACTTCTACTGGTCACCAGTGCTGTTGGAGTACAATGGTGATCACCCTACCATCCACCAGTTGGAGTACAGGATCATATGGGCAGATAGGATTGAGAAGCATGCTAGCGCTTGGAGAGATGCTGACATCATAAGTGGAGGTGTGTTGGTGTTGTGTTTGTGGGTGTGGGTGTGTTTGGGTCTCTGTATGACTCCTTTCTCTTCTATTAATACAATGATACGCAGCTCTCCTGCGTATTCGAAAAAAAAAGTATAAGGCTGACATGAGGATGAAGGTTATGTAAGTTCATTGTCACAGAACCGTCCAATTTATAAGAGCACAAGTACAATAGCAATCACCGAAGCGATCAAGCCGTCATACTTGAGCCCATATAAACCCGGTAGTCCAACGAAATCGCGAAAGATCTCAAACAACCAACATACAAACCAAGATCGTAGAGATTCAACACAACCAGTCACATGTTACATCACAGTTCACAAATATGTCTCATACATCAGAGTTCGAATAATTATTACAAGCCAAGTTTGAAAGTAGCGGAAGCAAAGTAGTTTAACATAAACATCACACGTAGTTTAATACAAAGCCAGTGTCATAGTCATCTCCAACCAAAAGCACAAAGGTGAGATGAAATACAGAATGACCATTGCCCATGGTCCTAGTCCTCATCCACAGCAGGAGCAAGACAGCTCTTGCAGTAGCCATGAAACATAACGTTATCTGCAACAAAGGGAATAAAACCCTGAGTACGAGAAGGTACTCAGCGAGACTTACCCGTCCGACTAAAATACTAAGACACCAAGGAGTATGCAAGGCTTTATAAGTAGAGCTGGTAGACATTATTTGCAGAAAAGCATAAGTTATCCAACATCTCTTTAATTGGAAAACTAGTTATTAATCCTGTCTCATACTAGATTAGCAACTATCCTATGCCAAACATGTTGATACCATTAATTCATCACAATAATAACCATATCCAGTTGAGTTCTTGCATAACCTCATAACCATCATTTTCATCATTTCCATAACTTACTACGATGAAAGGAACTCAAGTCAAGTTCTCACTATCCGGGAGAGACGGCGATTCGAATCGATTTCTACCCAGCTGGGGAAATATTCCTAACACACACCCAGGCATACCTCGCGAAGGTAGCCTTAGGTCACCTTTGGTACAAATCAGGAACCAAATTCGCGGGTACGACCAGCGCCGCACAATCAGAGAACCACTCTGCCAAGGGTGATTGGGACTCTAACCCGCCCTTGGGCTTACGCCAATGACTCTCCGCACATCCTTACTACCATCCAGAGTGCGCACTTGAACTGCTCGTGGTCCCAGCCTGAGATGAGCTACTCGGCTTCGCGGTCGGAACGACTTATCCAACCAACTATGTGAGAGGCTGCGTTCAACATGACAAGATGACCTCCAACGTCCGGTCCTTAAACGACACAGGTGGAGTCACTACAATACCACATATAAGATATCCACCCGGTCTCCATTTATTCAACAATACCAGGTTATGTTCCACGATAGCACAATATAGCCAACCGTGATTAAGTTATCACCTATAGCTCGCAGGTGACATGGAATCACCCGACTTCTACCGGTCTAAGCAGAGCTAAGCATGATAAACGTTCCTGGACTTAAATAGGATCCGAGGTAGATATATCTGGTCAAGGAATGGTAGTATGCAGCAAGTGTTTACAACCAACTCCTGTCACGTAATGCAGCAATACGAATAACTTTAAGTGACATTAATAAAATAGGGAGACTTATAATGCTCCGGGGCTTGCCTTTCACAAACGTCGAAGGCTGGTGATCGGGGCACTCGGGAAGGTGATCGGCTTCAGGCTCTCCTTCTCCGAGAACCTCCAGGTGCTGAACTTCCTGATTCTCCTCCTGCGGCTCGGCGTCGAGCTCCACTAGCGTGATCCCTTCGGTTGCACCTATTGCATGCATATGCATAAGTAAGTACCATGAATGCATAAGATGGATCACGGAGGATGTGATAAGGAATGTACATGCTGCAATAATGATGTTAAGTAGTAAAATAATAACAATGCTAACTCCTTATTTGCCTAGTAGGTGCATATCTCTTCTCTAGTTATTTACAAATTTCACACAAAGCAATATCTAAGTTACACATGACAGTTACAAGTTTATATCATAACTGAAGTTATACTTATCCAAATGCTGTGATCTTAGACTTTCTGGAAAGCTTATAAAATTGTCTAACACTATTATTCAATAACCAAAACCTGAATCACAATCTATCCTAGACAAAATAGGCAATCTATGCAGTGCTGTCCAGAAATTCCAGAGAACAAGCAATTTAGAAAACTAACTTTAAACCGATAGAACTCCTAAACCCTTTGGCCTATTGACCTGAAATTTTAACACAAGATAGATGAAGAAGTTACCTACAACTTTGTTATTAATCATTTCTACAGAAAACATCATTTTGACTATGCAACATAACAAGCAACAGAATCTGTCCGAAAACATGTTAAATCGAATTATAAAACAACAATATTTCTACTACATGTAAGCATTCAAAATTTGACACCACCAAGTACACCAACAGTTCAGGGGCATCAAATACACTCAAGAAAACATAATGGCAAAACCCAAACTATTTATTTAATTGTATTTATTAATTTATTTAGATAATTAGGTTAAATAATAAACCTATACCAAATGTGCATAATAAATTCTCAGAAAATTACAGTGACCTCCAAGTGCTACCACAAGACTACTGTAAAAGTTTCATGCCATTTTACCAAGTAAAATATTCTTTACAAAAATGACAAGCTAGTGAGGTCGATTTTAGTGAAAATAATAAACCCTATAGAAAAGTGTCAAATAACATATTATAAATTTTTTTCCTAGCTAGAGCATGTCAACATAAGACCAACAAACTTGGAATCACAATTTTATCACTTTTCTAGCTCAAGATATCTAATTTATAAGTTTTTAACATTCAAAAAGCATTTATTTAAATACATTTTAATCACCAAGAAAAATACAATAAACTGTATATTTCATATTTTTATAAAAAAACTACACTTCATAAGGAACATATCACAATTTGGTTCACAGAAATTGGACCTCTAGAACTCCACCTATGATTTTCCAAAGTAGGCATTCAAATCTGGACAAATGAACTATCTTTATTTGAACTGGGTCACTGTAGCGACCGAAAACAGAGCACTAAAACAGAGCAGCGACGAATGCGCGACGCGCTCGGTCGGACTTCACCGGCGGCGAGCTTTTCCGGCGACGTCGCCGATACTACGACGATCACCAAGACCTTGCGAACACAACAAGCTAGCTAATTGGACCGATTAACGCAGCTAAGCACGATGGCGGCGTTCATGGCGGGGCGGCGGCGCGGCTCGACGGTGAGACGCCGGAGCTGGCCATGGAAGCTCGATCTTCGGCTCGGCCAAGACTATACCGACTATGGCGAAGCTATCTCAACCACTATCGCGGCAAACAACGGACAGAGGTGGTGCGGCCACGGCGACGGAGCTCGACGGCGGAACTCCGGCGAGTCCGGGCACGGCGCTGAGGCCTTACCAAATGCTTCTAGCTAGCAGGGCGGTTGCGGTGGGACGGTGGGAGAACGACGGGGCTGCTGTGGTCACAGAGGAGCGACGCGGCGCAAGCCAAGGCCGGCAATGGCGTCGGCGGAGCTGCTGTGGAGCTGCTGCGGCGTTGCGGGAAGGCGAAGGAGAAACAGGCAGTGGAACTGAGGGCGCGGAGAGGTCACGGGCGAGCGCGTGCTTGAGTTGGCGAGCTGCGGCCCGACGTGGCCTGACCGGGCAGCGAAACGGCGACGCGCGGCGCCACGCGGCGTCGAAGCTCTGAAAATGGTCCGTTAGTGTAGCACGTCATCAGAGCCACGATTTCAGCCTGACAGCGATACTAGGCGACGATAAATCTCCTAATCCGTTGATCATTAGCGCAAACTTACTAAATCAAAGTTGAAGCCCTATATACCATCTTCAACTTCCATTAAAGGATCGAGTTCCAATTCTCAGTCAACACGGAGTAATATCATGCCAAAGTTGAGCAAATAACACTGGAAACCAGTTTTGACTTAGAAAAATTCTAAGTGTCGCAAAACAGTGAAATATGGAATTTTGTGAGCACAAAATGACTAAGCTATGCACTGAATTAGACCGAGACCCAAACATAAAAGTTGTTGCTCTACTCAAAAACTACAACTTTGTTTAAAGGTTCACTGCCATGCAAAGACTCTATGACATAGTTCAAACTAGGTCAAACATAGTACTTTAAAATGATGACATACACCATATCAATGACTTAGAGACTAAACTAGACTTAGCCATGAATACCAAAGTTGTTCCTTATGCTATTCTAAACATGTTTAAAGCATTCACAAGGTTCCACACACATTCCATACTTTGATTCCATGAAAACCCTAACTTAAGTAAGGTAATTAAGTAACACGCATGAAATATAAGCTAACAAAGGTATAGCAATTGAGATGCTCATGCACATGCATGCTCATGGATGCTTATGATCATGCAATGTCAAGGTTAAATGCATGCTTAACACCGAGGGTGTTACATTCATCCCCTTACTTCCTTCTCATATCTAAGTAAGGTTATGTAAGGTCACACAACCTCATCTTTACATTTTGAAACAGTTGAAAACTTATCCATTATGTAAAAAAAAAGAAAAGTTCAAAACTTATCAAATACAAGAAAAGAAAAGTTTTCGAAGGCACTGAGTATGAGGAGCATATTTTGTATGGGCAGGTATGATTCATTTGAGGATGGTGAGGCAAGGTCAAACGAAGTGGAAATGATTGATGGTTTCGAGATAGCTCTCATGAAACTGACTGAATGGCTCGGAGAGAATACTGACAAGAAAAAGACTAGAATCTTCTTCGCAGGATCATCACCCACACATTTATGGTGAGAGGAGAGCAACGCATCTTGTGTTAACACAAATAATGACATAGTAGAACAACATCTCCATGAAACACGAAAGTGATACGTATGCATATATGTTTTTTAGGGCTAGCAACTGGGGTGGAGAAGAGAGGAACAAATGTCTTAATGAGACAGAACAGATCTACAAAGTCGGATACAAAAGAGACAGATTACAGTATGATGGAGAAGGCTAAGTTATATTTCGGGACGCTAGAGGAGAAGGGCATACACATTCAGATACTGAACATCACGGAGTTGTCTGACTACCGTAAGGATGGGCACCCAACGGTGTTTAGGAAACAGTTTCACCCTCTAACGAAAGAACAGATCATGAACCCAGCGAGTTATGCGGATTGCATTCATTGGTGCCTCCCCGGTGTTCCTGATGTCTGGAATGAGTTTCTGTACGGCTACCTCATGTACAAATGACATATAATGTCAGAGACTTAGAGTATGTACTGTATATCTATGTATTCTTTTAGAGTTCAAGGGCAAAATGCCCCGGCCTTTCATTAACATAAAAGACCACAGAGACTGTATATCTATGTATATCTTATATAGATGGAAAACATCTAAGTCATCCTCCCCATTCATTCCAGACCCACCTGTGCCCACTTCCAAACGAAAACATCGCAGCAACCATCTGAACATTCATGTGGCCTCCCTCCTCCCTGTAGACAACGGAACAGTCTGCTACAATTCATGTTTGATCCCTTTAAATCCCAAGTCAGGTTCGCAATCAAAGGAAATGAAAGAGACAACACCTACTTCCCCTTCCTTGCAAATCTATGAGGCATTATCAATCCTCGCTCATCCACCTGCCCTGTAGATCGCTAATGTTATTATTTTCTTTGCAAGAAGATCAGTCTATGAGATGTGCCAGTGCCACCGATCCACAACCTGTGTCGGATCGGAGAATATATCCCCAAGCGCTAGTCTGACCTATTTCCGGAGACAGTCCATCGATCACCCTATGTTTGACATGAGGAATTCAGAGGTTGCAATAAATATATTCTTATGGACTGGCTCCAGCTGTCAACGTTCTGTAAATGTAATCAGTCAAAGCGTTCAACAAGTAATCAATCTAGCTAACCTCTATACTAGAAAGGGATAAATGAGTTGTCTATGATGTATTAGACAGAGTCCAGCAGGTAAGAAAAAAATGGTTTGCTTCATTCATGTCTGACATGTTGTATACATATTAAATAGTTTTTTCCCTATAACAATATAACTAGATGAAATTGCTTAGGATTGAATTGCTGAAATTGAATTTTAACTGTTCGGTCTGTCATGTAGGATTTCAAAGGCCCAAACCGACACTATCCTATCAACCTTTCAAAGGTCCCCTCCGATGCTGTTTTTTTTCTTTTTCTTTCTTTTTAAAAAGCGCCACCTTGGCATGGCCTTCCAGGAGGCCACGTGTGGTGCGGGGGTTCAAACCCCCGCCGGCTGCTTCCCACCCTTGGGAGCTAGCCACTGGGCCACTAGCCTGTCCGCCCTCCGATACTGTTCTTAGCCTTTCCAACACGAACGCAATAGCTATTAGTGAAGGATCCAACAATCTCAAAACTAAGACACGCAAGGAATGTGTCATTGCCTTCCTCATGTACTCGATGTAGTTAAGCAACAAACCAGTAGTCATGCATTGGTCACCCTGTAAATTTATAATATGTTTTCCTCATCATCAATGTAGTCAATGTCATATTTTGCTCAAAACTCAATCCAAAGCATCTTTTCAAGTTTGCAGATTCTTCTATCTCATGGGCAATGATTTCTGGCTTCGAGAACATCCTCCATTGTCAATTTACAGTTTATCGTTATGATTCCCACCACAATGCGGGGTGTATCGCCTAGTTGCAAACGGAGTACTCCATCCAGGTTACATGTGAAAAGGCAAGGACTCGAGTAGTCAAATTAGTGTGTATCAGATTCAGACGAGTTGCTTGCGTAAGACAGTCAGTCAGACAGAGCAGCATAAGCTAGGTTGTCCATCATAATTCATACATTCAGTCATATGTGATTATGTGAATAGAAGAGGGCCCAAGCTAGTGCGAATCAGGCCAGGCCAGTTGTTTGCATACGACAGACAGAGAGCGAGCAACGCGACTCTGAACTTCTGAATATTCCACATAGATTGTGCCATATATAAAGAAACAACTTATGAATCATAGCTGTGGCTGTCCTAGATCACTAGATGTATGATCCTGACATTAGTGCCTCACTGAAGCTAAGCAAGCAAGATGCCACCATATATATAATCAGTAGGTTAGCAGGACAGTTCATTCAGATTTCAGAGTAACAGGTTGTCAGACAGTCGAGCAAGCAAGCGAACATGAAAAATGTTTCAGCACAGCAGTGGGATCAACGAGAATGGGATCACCGAGAGCAGGGTGCGCTCCATATCGTCGCCGGCTCGCCGCGGGAAAGCAGCCTACGCCACGCCACCGCGGAGGTAGCTCGACCTCGGCGGTCGACCGACGCCGTCACCGTGTGCACCACAACGCCGTCGCGCGCAGCCTTGGTTACCGTTACACTGACAGACGAACCGCGCTGCGACATGGGAAGGGGGAAGCTACCCTACCAGCCATGACCGCCGCTTCCCAGAGCAAAGCTGGTTCGCCGCCGGCGTCGACGACAGTGAGGATGAGGGAGAGCAGAGCAGAGGAATGGCCCATGATGGATGGGAGGGAAGCCTCTGCGGGCCTAGAAGCAGTGGGCTGACCAGGCCCGTGAAAGTAATCTTCACGTTTATCAGCCCACAACAACAATTCAGGCATCTCCATGAATTTCCCTCGCTATATCACACCCAAATCAGAAACGTCCCTTATTTTCAAAAAAAAAAAAAAAAAAAAAGAAATGACCCACACAATTTGCACTTTTGTAAACGAAATCTGAATCTGAATGCAGAAACGTCTTAGCTCCAGTCATGTATACGACGAGTATTTGCATATTTGTCTTCACGTGTGGACGGTCACTGAAAATAGCAGCCCCTGGTCACGCCTCACGCGTTTTTTTTCTATTGTTTGAACATCGAATTCTTAACTTGCTGGTTGGTGAGCCTTTCAAGTTTATTACTACATTATTAAAAAAAAGTTTATTACTACAGTACGCAGTAGTAGGTGATAGATAGGCAACTATTCGCATGGTCAAAGAAAAAAAAGATCAAACTTAGAATATTTTGATTTAAAATGATCAAATTAAATAAAAACGGCTATATTTTGAGATGGAAAGAGTAGTCTCATATTTCCTTCGGTTCGTATATGTTCAGACCTAGAAGAGAAAGATCATTTTAGTTGCTAAAAGATTCTTTGCAAGTTGATGAGTTTTTTTATATTATTTATTGGGGAAAAAAATGGAGGCTAAGATTGATGAGAGTCCAAATAAAGAGATTGACCGTCATCAGAAGGCTGCTAACGGCCGGATATAATAACAACCCTCGTCATTCGTAAACTATATACCGGTACTATAAAATGGTTAGGGTCAACTAACATGTGTAAGTACAACTGTACTAGATGTTGATTTTGATGTATGACGTAGGACACTGCCAGTCAGGACTTGAATAAGGATGATCTTGAAAACATGCAGCAGCACCCTACCGCAGCTGTTTTCAGGTTACAAAGACAAATGTATGTAATTTGGTCTGAAAAGCTACTGTAAAAAAAAAATTGTAGTCCTATTGTCGTTTACTCCGCCACATCATGGGATTTTTTTTTTTTTTAAAAAAACTTCTGCACTCAGCTTAAGTAGTTAAGTATTAGAGACGGCAGAGAGGGAGATTCGATTTGCATGTGCATGTATGGTTTTATATATATGCTTTCCGGGACGCCGTAAGCTTAGCAATATGTATATGGCTGATGCCTGTTGCCTGATTTGTAAATTTCAGTGGTCTCGGTTCATAGAATACATTCACTCCTGTACTAGATGCTGATTTTGATTTCGATTTGATTGCACACAAGTAACACGTCACGTCTACTGCTAGTTAACAAATAATCTGGGCGCTACCTGTAATACTTTGTAATAAGGCCAAAACAAAACCCTGATCTCATGTTCTGCTCTCTGTGTGCCATCCATCGATCGAAGATGCATGGATGCCTCCTATACATCAATCATACAGCCATTTCCATGCATTGCATGATACATACTTACAATCCAAGATGCTCAATTAGCTAGTAGCATCTAAATAATGATCACATGCATGCAAGCCGAGCACACACACAGCTTGTACATAGCCTGAATTAGATTCGTATGCATGTTCGGATGTTCAATTCATCATTAACCAGTAACCAGTTGATGATGAATTAACTCCCTACCTTACGATATTGTGTCAATATGAAAAAATGATGTTTATATTCATCACGACAAATACTATTAGATGACTATAGATCGTCTGAGGCCACACACGGTCTAGATACGCACTGAACGGAGATCCCAGTGATGCCGACCAGCAGGTTGACCAGGCTGATTAGACGCTCGTTCTTTTTCCATAAGACCCATGAACGCCGGTAAATCTCATAGAGAGAAGTGTTGGACCGACAAGAGGTTTTTTTTGCTAATTATAAGATATTTTTTTTACTTGATGCCCCTAATAGGTGCAAACATAAATTTGCTTAAAAGATGACCAAAATTATTTTTCTATGAGCCGCTTCATCGAAATGACCCCGTACTTGGTATATACTTATTCAAAAGTCAACTAAAAATGGATTGTAGTTGCACCTTATTGCTAGAATTCTTGACCTTATTTATCTTTCGCATTTCAATCTCTAATTGTCTTGGTTTGTAGGTGTGTCGGGGTCGTTGATCCACCTTTATTAGGCTGGCCTCGCTGTTTTTGTTGTTGTTTAATTAATGTCCTGGACAACAACAATCACATAGTTTTCACTTGCTCGTCGAGGAAAAAAAGACTTGACCTTGATTTTGATATTTTTTCAACCATCCACAGACCTCTTGAACACGACTTCACGGCCCGAAGTCTTTTCAATCTTACCTCCTTCCCTAGGATTTACCTGAGTACTGCATCACCATCTTTCGGATCGTTGAACCATGAATCGTGTTGGGCACTTATATAAAGTTCATCTTGTTTCTGTTAACCCATCATTGTCTTACAAAAGTCGAATTAAACCCACATTAAAATGTCACGTCTATAGTATTGTACGTACCGTATACGTAAATATATTAACTTGGTCAGATTTTTTCTTTTAAAAAGGTAGAGTTATAAAACAAAACTGAGACCACCCATAGTATATATATTTTTAAAACGAATGGAATAGAAATGAACTTATTGTTGCTAAACATGAAAGGTCATGTGTGTATAAATATGAATATAGGCAGCGTGATCGAGGAGGTAGCTAATTAAGCAGAGAAGAAAGAGGGAGGAGGGGGAGCGATTGGTACGGACAGTCTGCAATTACTTGCTATCCACTTTGGTTGCTCGAACCAAAATTAAGATGTCACCGACGAATAAAAGGTGAGATATACTTGGCACATTGTGACAGATTTTTTTTTTTACTTGTGCTAACAAACCATCTCTCTCCTTTCTACAGGAAGGTGGAAAAATATTCAATACACAATAAAAGAGATGGGGAGATAAAAAGTTCTCTTAAACCTTTATTTCGAAGGCATGCGCTGCACGTGCTTCATTAAGAATAGTGGGAATAAAGTTACACTCTGGTTGGACTAACAGCGAGCTATCATAAGCCACACAGGTTGAACGGTGGAGCTTAGGGAGTTGTAGCAAGTGAGAAAACTGTTGTGTGATTAAAGCTCCCAGCCTCAAACCTCTCGATATGTGACACAAATCTTTCAGATAGATCCCATTCACCTTTACCCTACGGACAGTCTGCGATTACTTGCTATCCACTTCGGTCGCTCGAATCAAAATTAAGATGTCACCGGCGAACAAATTAAAAAGGTGAGATATACTTGGCACACTGTGACAGATTTTTTTTACCTATGCTAACAAACCATCTCTCTCCTTTCTACAAGACTATGGAAAAAATCTTCCACACAGAGTAAAAGAGATAGGGAGATAAAAAGTTCTCCTAGCCTCAAACCTCTCGATCTGTGGCACAAATCTTTCAGATAGATCCCATTCACCATTCACCTTTACTCTATAATTAAACCAATCAAAAATTCAGCAAAACCCATTCTTCTCATCATCTTTTCTAAAGAGAAAAAACTCTATTCCACTCGATTGCACGCCTTGGTCATGTCAAGTTTCATAGCCGTATACCCCAACTAATTAAACAGGAAAGCTCGTGTGTATAAATATAGGCAGCGCGATGGATCGAGCAGGCAGCTGAGCAGACAAGAAAGAGGGCAAGGGGCCAGGGAGCGGTTGTTGGCACGGACGGACGGACAGGCGCCGCGCGCGCTTCTTGTCCGCGCGGCGGGAGCGGGAGCGCGCGCGCCTAGCTTGCAACCCATCATTCCAGACCAATCATCAAGCACATGACGACGATGGCGGCGCAACCGGATGGCCGCCGAGGTGGGGAGGAGGAAGAGATGGAAGGCGGGGGCCGGCATCATCGGCAGCAGCATCAGCAGCGGAGGAACGGCGGCGACGACGAGGCGTGGCGGCGGTGGGCGGTGCTGGTGTCGACGGTGTGGATCCAGGCGCTGACAGGGACCAACTTCGACTTCTCGGCCTACTCGTCGGCGCTCAAGTCGTCGCTGGGGGTCTCCCAGGAGGCGCTCAACTACCTGGCGACGGCGTCGGACATGGGCAAGGCACTGGGCTGGTCGTCGGGGCTGGCGCTGCTCCACATGCCGCTCCACGCCGTGCTCATGGTTTCCGCCGCCATGGGGCTCGCCGCCTACGCCGTCCAGTACTACTGCCTCGTCGCGTCCGTCGCCGTCCCCTACCCTCTGGTACGTGCTTAGGTGCCGTCGTCATTGCTTCGCTTTCGCTGCGTTAATTTGCTCGTTGTGATCTTCATCTTCAAGCGGCGCTCGGTGTGTGCGCGGCGGCGTGTCTAGCTGATGTTCGATCGTTGAGTCGTGGTTGTCAGGCAGTGAATAGCATAGTATATATGTATGTCAGTCACCCTCGTCAATTATCGGCCGTCTCGATGAGAAAGAAAGAAATAAAGAACCAAAAATAAAAATAAAAATTAAAGAAGATAGGAATGGACGTAGACGACGATGATGGGGGAATCAGGGACGACGACATTAATTAATAATAACAACGGCCGTCCATGGCGGATCGTCGGAGTCGGAGGCAGCGAGCAGCAATGGTCAATGGCCGGCGGAGCAGAAAAGGAGGGCGGCCCGGCTTGTGCTTGTGAGAAATGGTCAATGCCGCTTGTCCTTCCGTCTCCGTCGCGACGACCATGCCCAGCTCCTGAGTTTGCTGTGCTAGTGCTCGTCCAGTTCCAACAGCAACACCAAGCAAGCACGCTACTGATCGATCGACGGTTGTTTGTGGATGGGAGGTAGCTCCATCTGGCATCTCCTTTCCTTTTCTCGGAGGAAACACAAACACCTTCACTATTCTCTCTTTTCTTCTTCTTCTTTTCCGTCCCAAAATAAAGTAATGTTAAGCCAAACAATTTCAAATTTGAACATTTTACAATAAAACAATAGTATTATGACACCAAATAGGTAGGACGAAAGTACATTTAATGATAATACTTATTTGATATCATAAACACTCGTACTATTTTTTTGTATAAATTTTGTAAAACTTGAAATGGTTTGATTTAAGATAAAACTAAAACAAGTTTATGATATACTAAAACAGTATAAGAACGTACTAGTGTTTGGATAAAAGTAGTCAAATTCTACAAATGTTAGTGTTTGGGTAAATAGTTTATCAAAGCATTTCAAGTTAGTGTTTGGATAAATAAAAAAAAAGTTAAACTCTAGATTTTTGTTCCATTATTTATTTTAAAAAATGCAAGTGTTTGGGCGTTGTTCTTTTTCTTCTATCACCTTCTCATTTTCCTTAGAAAATCCAAATAAGGACCGAACAATAGTGACATGAGATGAGATGGGGATTAGACATACAGTATACTATAAATCTGTTGCTATCCAGCAACAGTTGAGTTGTTTCGTCACCAACTAACCAACCAAACAGTACATTTCAGATCCAGTCTCAGGTCTGAATTGAGGCCATGTTTTAGTTTCTCCAAAACTCCTGAAAAATGCACTATACAAACAGAAGATTCCCCGTCACATTAAACTTGTGGTACATGCATGAAGTACTAAATGTAGACGAAATCAAAAACCAATTGCACAGTTTGGTTGTACTTTGCGAGACGAACGTTTTGAGCCTAATTTAGTCAACGGTTGGACAATTATTACCAAATACAAACGAAATGCTACAGTGTCGCTACAGGAATTTTGCCACTCTAAAGTTTGAGAACTAAGGGGTGAATGTTATCTGCAAGTCTGCAACTAACTCAACTCTGCTTTCCTCCAACCAGTCTCTGCCTCTGCTCTGCTTTTGACTGCTAGATGAGCCACCTGCACACCACGCGCGCTCTCGCAAACTTCAAACTTCTGCGTCTCTGTCTAATAACCTGACAAAATGAACACGTACTCCAAACTGTATATGTTTCTTTTTTTTTCCTGGTAAATATCTTGTTCATTGATAGGTGTGCCCAATCCGAAAACCCTTTTTTTCAACTGTCAAACAGTGACCACATATTCCATCAACTGGCATCAATCAAGAAATCAACATCCTGGGGAAGCGTAAAATGTTCTTGCTTCTCTTAACAAACCGCTAAAATTCATTTCCCCCCACAGCCCAACCAGGACACTGTCGCTATCCAAACTAAAAAAAAAAATCTTGAAGGAGTACTGAGTTCACACACAAAGGGTACGGCAGGTTCTCAGAGACTGCCAAATAAATCTAGCATCACGACAGCGAGCACACATCACAATCACATCAGCTAAGATACCACAACATCCCCACCGGCATCACACACGCATGCCCACGGCATGCCGCCATTCCAGTCTCACAAGTCACAGCTGCATCATCCACCTACTCCACACCTTCCTTCAGTACATTCAGGAGAAATATGTGGGCATGTCACAACACATAAATGGAACCACAAAGTTTTAAGGTCACATTGCCACAGTGCAGTTACAAAATAATATAGTAATTGATACCAAACCTCACTTCCCTGTTCAGCTACTCAATGCCTACCACATATCAGGCTACTGGGAATTGTTGAGGAAAATGAGATCACATGTCCCATTCCAAGCACATTTTAAAAGCATTTTTTTCGAAGAGCAATCGTGGGGATTATATTACCACTGATCCCAGGCGAAGCCTAGTGGGTGGAGGGTCATAGACCCCAGGGTTCGGCGTGGCGCCAAATAAAGTCAAAGGGAGAAAAGGATAGAGTAATTACATCCAAACAATTGATCTCCAGAAACTAGTGAGAATAGAAGAGTTCCTAGGAACACGGACTGCCAGAGGATGGCCGTCGACTTGCAGGCAGCCACCAGAGGTTCCATCTTCAAAGGGGGGAAAAATGTGTACATTCTTCCAGTAGTAAAATGCATTGCAGACCCTATAGATAAGCCTCCCAGCATAGAAATCAACCCTGCAGTTTTCAGTAGGTAGTCTATATTAGCACACCGGCTTTCTTGACAAACTGATTGCAAACACTTCACTCGAATGTATTCAAGCCAAGATTTAGAGACGACAGAGGTTAAAATGTCAATAAAGCAATAACATGCAAATGCAATTTATATTAAACTTAATTATTTGATCAAATTCTGATTCATATGTTGGGCCCTACAGGTGTTCTTGGTCTGCTTGATAGCAGGGTGCAGCATCTGCTGGTTCAACACAGTCTGCTTTGTTCTCTGCATCCGCAGCTTCTCTGCAAACAACCGCTCCCTAGCCCTCTCCCTCTCAATAAGCTTCAACGGGCTCAGCGCTGCCTTCTACACTCTCTTTGGGAATGCCCTCTCCCCTTTATCCCCAGCTATCTACCTCCTCCTCAATGCAATCCTCCCTCTTGGTGTTTCTATTCTTGCACTCCCAGCGATCCTCCTCTGCCACACAAATGACAGCCACCTCCAAAGTGCGCCCAGGCACGACAGGCGTGTCTTCCTCGGTCTCTACATCCTCGCATTCATCACCGGCATATATCTGGTGATCTTTGGATCTTTCACTGCAACCGGCTCAACTGCATGGGTCATCCTCACAGGTGCCACGGTCCTCCTCGCCCTTCCTCTCATCATCCCTGCCTGCTCCAGTTGCTCATATATGGATACAGATGGCCCTGACCGTGCATCGCCACTAAACCATGATGATCCACATAAGCCACTCCTAATCAGTAACAATCATCAGATGGAGTCCAATGCGATGACACCAAAACCAATGGAGCACCAGACGCAGGGCAATTGTTGTGGAACAATAGTGGGCAAGGGCCGCCTGGTGGCACTCGGTGAAGAACATAGTGCAAAGAAGCTCATTCGGTGTGTGGACTTCTGGCTCTACTACACAGCCTACTTCTGTGGAGCCACTGTTGGCCTGGTATACAGCAACAACTTGGGGCAGATTGCGCAGTCATTGAACCAACAGTCACAGCTCACCATGCTACTTGCTGTCTACTCATCCTGCTCCTTCTTTGGTCGACTTCTTTCTGCACTACCTGACATCCTTCACAGGTACCTGTTTTGCTTTATATACATACATATATCTCATCATATCACATGCTTCCTAACTAAAATTTGTATACAGGAAGGTGTCACTTGCTCGCACAGGGTGGCTTACTGCTGCATTGGTCCCCATGCCAGTGGCGTTTTTCCTTATGTGGAACCAACAAAATGCAAGCACCCTGGTAGCAGGAACAGCACTAATTGGCCTAAGCTCAGGGTTCATCTTTGCTGCAGCAGTGTCAGTGACCTCCGAGCTCTTTGGACCAAATAGCGTTGGGGTGAATCACAACATACTAATCACCAATATCCCGCTGGGCTCACTCCTCTATGGCCAGATTGCTGCCATGGTATACGATGGAAATGGCCAAAAGATGACACTAATGGACAACCGCACTAGCATTGTTGACACCACGATTGTGTGCATGGGGATGAAGTGCTACTCAACCACCTTCTTCCTGTGGGCTTGCATCACATTTCTAGGGTTATCATCAAGCATAGTTCTATTCATACGAACAAAACCAGCTTATGCTACTGCTGCTAGCCGGTCAAGTTGTAAGCACCTTAACCAAGTTTCCAGTTAACAGAGAAACCTCCTTTATCAGTTCCTTACTGATTTGAAACCACAGTTAGCTTGTATAAAAAATTGGCTTAGTTCTAGGTGAAATGGGTTAGATACAATACATTGAATGAATACTAAGAGAATCAAAAGGGTAGGAAAATATCAGCTTAGAAGCATTTATGTTAAGTACAGAGCTAGTATTCCATTTACTAGGCACTAACACTAACAAGTCGGCCCAAGATCGCATGACCTCAGTTTGGATGTTTGTTGACGGTGGAATGGATATGTGTGCAAAGTCCTACAAATTTATCGCTGTTATGTACTACTTAACTACTCAACTTATGCTAGAGTTCAGAGCAAATAGCTTTTTTTTTTTCAATTTCGTTGTGGCGATACTCTTAAAGGTAATTAAGGAGGCTACAAAAAGTTCTAAATTTTTCGAAGGGTTGGCCTAGATGACCACTCCAGTGAGCTGGAATCGGAGAAGAGCTATACTTCAGTAAGCAATCCATGGAGCATTCAATTATTATGTAAAAAAATGAACCCCTGTCACCTTTTAACCTATAATTTCGCTTTTATATTGTCAAAATAACATATATCAGCAAGCAAAATCCAGTTTGGACGTATACAGGCTGGCACAATTTCCTAAAAACCTTTAAACAGTCCTGGAAGCTACCATTCAGCAATTTTAGGGAGGGGGGAGAGGGAGGGAGTATTCAACAAATGCAAAAAATAACATTCATATGACCTCATTTGAGGGGTTAAAGTTGCACATGAAATCAGTTTGGACTGTTGGTACAAGTTGAATATATTTGTGTGCAAAATCGTCCATATTCGACTCTGTTCTGTAGTAATACACTAATACATAACAACTTCAAGCAGACAGCAGGATTTTGGAAGTTCGGATATTGTATCTGACTATCATGTCAGCTTTTTACCAAAAAAAAAGTCAGCTTTTTACCAAAAAAAAAAAAAAAACAACAGCACAAACTAACATGCACAGTTATATAAATATTGCAAGGATGGTCTAGATGGACTGTTCCAGTCAGTGGAAAGGGAACTGTACTTTAATGAGCAATCCACAGAGGCCATAGCCATGAATCAATTACATCATACAAAGAAATAGACAGCTTTCACACCTTTGTAAACCATAACTTCACTGCTATACTGTTAAAACAAAATATAGCAAGTGAAATTTAGTCTCAACGTGTACAATTGAGCTCAGTTTTCTTGATAATTTTTTCTTCTTTGAAAAAAAAGTTTATAATAATTACCTATTAACCTTTTAAACTTTTCTGGAAGGTACCATCCATCCAGCCATCCAGCACTTTCAGAGAAGTAGGACAAATTATTCACTGATATACTGTACCAAGTGAAATCCAGTGTGAACGTGTACAATTGAGCTCAGTTTCCTTGACAAATTTTTCTTCTTTGAAAAAAAGTTTATAACAATCACCTATAGCCTTTTAAACTTTTCTGGAAGGTTACCATCCAGCCAGCCATCAAGCACTTTCAGAGAAGTAGGACAAATTATTCACCAAATCCATAAGACTGGCATTCATATTACCTCATTCAAGGGTCTACAAATGGAGGATACAATCACTTGACAGGACACGTAACTCATGACTGTTTCTTCTGTTCTTCGTCATGCTTGCGCCATGGGTTCAGGGCTTCCCTCATAGCTTGGGCCTCTGGACTGCTTTCCCAAGCTCGTTTTTCTGACTCCAAGACAACAACCTTATCATCTGTAGCACAACCATGGAGGAAAAAATATACATACATGTAAGGGGCCTTCCTATGCAGCAGTGAAAAAATAGAGATTCTGACAGGATTAATGGTACTATGCAATCTGAACTCGTTGTATGGCCAGTTCCGGGCCACCAAAGTATCAGAAGTTTGGATTGTTGTTACATGGGAAGATGCACTGAATCAACAACTGGTGATTCGTGGTAATTTTGGGGGAACTTTGCCAATTTCCCAATGACTGCCTATTAGTTTCATCGTCAACCATAAGCTGGTTTGAATTTCGATGACATGAAAAATGCAAGTGCTAATTGGGTCTTGTAGAGCAGCAATATTGCAGCTGAAAACTTTGCAATCTGCCTAGATCTATCTACAGGTAAAAAAAAAAAAAACTGGGGACTGGATGTATGCTCTCAGATGGACAGCCAATAATAAATGATTGCAGTGTGACTGATTATTAGAGATCAGAAACAAATTACAAGGGTGAGGGGAGTTGGAAGCCGAGCAGAGCAGGGAGGGAGAAGCCTACAGAAGCCCGTGTGGATCATGAAGAGCTCCATGGCGGCGCCAATGGAGGCCCCGACCGCCGCGATCTTCAGGTACCAGCCCGCGAACCTCATGCACGCACCCTCTGGATGCGTCCCTCGGTCAGGGAGAGTTTCCTCCTAGATAACTGCAAGCTGCGACCGACGCACAACGCGGCATGAATCAAAGGCCAGTCCCATGGGCATGGATGGAATGGATGAATCTCGCATCGAGTACTGGCGTGCTTGCGGGGTAAGGAGGGGTCGAAGGGGAGTTGGTACTTACGGGTTGGTCGGTAGTGGTATTGGACTATTGGTGGCCGGAGATGGAGATGGGGACGACGGAGACCAAAGCGGCGGCGGCGGGTTTCTGGTGAAGACGAGTGGGGGCAGTGGCACGTGGCGCCGGATGTGTTGGGCTCGTTGAACTATTCCATTCCACATTAGCCCATGGCGGCCTAGTAGGAAAGCCCACCACAATATGCACATACTTGTCGACATGTTTATTTGTTTTTCGATCAATGACTCTTTTAATATTTTGAATCAACTTCTCAACAACAATTTTGGCACGGTAGATTTTGTCCACAAATTTTTTGAAATATTATAAGTTTTGGAGTTAAATGCATGAATGATGCCACTTAGATTCACGACTAAAATCCTTAATACACTTTTTTCGATGAATTATTAGTATGTTTATACTATCTCATATTCTCATATCTCGTTAAACTACACTATCACGTTTTAGTATCTTATAAGTTTAACTAACTATAGATAAAAAAAGTATCAATGTTTATGCTGTCAAATAAATATTATTAGATTGATTACGAAATGTATTTTCATAATTAATTGATTTAAAGTTATAAATATAAATACTATTCACTAGAAACTTGGTTAAATATGAACTACTTTTTCTAACATGTATTCCATAGTTGCATAGTTTGTTGGACCGAGGGAGTATAGGACTAGAGGGAGTATACGGTTCTATATTGGAGTGTAATTAAAATATAAAATAGCAAGGGGCACTGTGACTGAAAATATTTGAAATGATCGATAGAAGGTGAGTAGCAAATCTTGAAAGATCTATTGGGCAGACTTGCTCCAAGAACCACACATATCATTTGATTCATCTGAAAACCTTCTCCTCATGTGGACCACTGGAATCCAATTGCACGGGCACGGCCATGGTTCACACAAAATCTTTCAGAATTGTCAGCTTTCTGATGTATCTCTATGACTCTATTGAAGCAGTCAGTATCAGCATCGCCACGAGCCCACGACCACGTGCCCAAATGGATACCAATCAGTGGACAGCAAACCACCCTTGGTAATTCTGCACGATTGCAGTTTGCATGGAAGGAAAAAAAAAGACTCGTTTTTCTTTATCCACCGATTTAATTCCTAGTTGTAATACATTTACTTTCTGCAAGAATTACAGCACTTTTTTGTGAAATTCTGGCCATACCGCCATACGTTCTGTCCTGGCTGTGTGGACTCTGAAGTAACAACCATTTGGCTCAATAGGAGGCGAGATATTCTTCCTCTCTCGTTTCTGGCGGGCATGGTGACCTCGCCGCCGGTGACGGTGAGAGCGGTTGTCTGCGCTCTCACCCTGACCCCGTCATCACGGCTCAGCCGCGTCTCCTTTCACGGCTGCCTCGCACAGCGCCGCCGCCGCCGTTGGCCTCCTCGATGTAGCGGGAAGCAAACTGCCGTGGTTGAGGAGGAAGCAGCTTCTTCGCGGGAGGCCAAGAACGGGAAAGGGGACGAGGGGAGCGGGGCGCTGGGCTGGTTTGCACTGGATACGATTGGGCTGGACATTCTCAGCATCGCTCTGCCCGCCGCCCTCGCGCTCGCCGCCGACCCCATCGCGGCGCTCGTCGACACTGCCTTCGTCGGTCACATAGGTGAAGCAAAGCTTTCCCTTTGCCTCAGTCTCTTCCTTTCTGGGGTCAGTTTGTGGACTGCTGAATGCTGATAAATGTCTGATACTGTAGTTCATATGGAAACATTTCACTGATGTTTCCTGTTTTTTCTAGTCAATGAGCATTCACTGAATGTTTACATACCCAGAATTTTATTGTCAATCAGGTTCGGCCGAACTTGCTGCTGTTGGTGTATCGATTTCAGTATTCAATTTGGTGTCCAAGCTGTTTAATGTGCCCTTGCTTAACGTGACCACATCCTTCGTTGCTGAGCAGCAGGCAATGAAGGATGATGGTTTCAGTGGGACAAGAGAAGGTAAGCTGCTGAAGATTTCGAACATTTGCTAAAAATAACCTCACTATTTGTGTTACACTAATCCGTTATTTAGTTCTCGCTTAGGATATGACTTTCCAAGCTCTCCTGAGGAGTTGACCCCGAAAAGGAAGTTTATTCCAGCAGTATCAACATCAGTGGCTTTAGCAACGGGTATTGGGTTGATGGAAACTGTGGCACTGATTTTTGGATCGGGGACACTAATGGATATGATCGGCATTCCTATTGTAAGTAAGAACTTTCATTTCTTTCCATTCTCAGAAACTTTAGCATCAATGACTTGGCACCCGGTTGGTTATCCGCTTAGCCAGTACTTTTTTTTTTATCTTCGTGATGAAATGTATCAAGTTAATATTGTATTGCATCAGTTGCACTACCCAAAAACTGTCGTACTCTAGCTATGTTTCTTTAAAATAGAAGTATCATGGACCTGTCATATAGACATATATACCTTGCGTCAACTGCCAATAGTTGAATTGAGGACCATGAATAACTGATACTAACATATTTTAGTTTTGACATTTGAGCCCAAGTTTTTTATTATATGTTATTCTTACAGTACCTGTACTCAAACTGTCAAACCTGATTTGTTGTATATTATCTGTGCAGGATTCACCAATGCGAATACCGGCTGTGCAATTTCTGACATTTAGGGCATATGGTGCTCCACCGATTGTGGTAGCACTTGCTGCAAGGGTGCATTTCGTGGGCTCATGGATACGAAAACACCTTTATATGCTGTGGGTAAGATTATAGTAGGAAACTCTTTTAGCTGAAATGGACAAAGTAGACCACGTGAACTTTTGCAATTATGTATTTCTTATGAGCAAGTTTCAGGATGAAATGTCTTGTGCATTTAGTTGCCACTTCAGTGATCTATACACCTAGTTCAGTGGTCATCTAGAAATTTAACAATAATAGACCTGTCAACGTTATCAATTTTAGATTTGAAGTATGAGAGACAATAAGATTTAGGAAGTGATAGCTACTACAAATGCAAGTTGTGAGAACTTTTCCTAATGATTGTCTTATTTATGATGCTTTATGTTCCTGCAAACGACAAAAGTAAAGATTTAAGCACTCTGGATGCAGGTGTTGGCAACCTAGTAAATGTCATACTTGACGCCATACTTGTTTTCCCACTTGGTTTAGGAGTTAGAGGTGCTGCCTTGGCAACAGTGACCTCAGAGTATGTTGAATCCATCTTAAGAATTCAATGTGTTTCCTTTTTTTGGATTTTCTTTTCATCTTTATAACTGCACCCATGAGAACTAAATCCTTGCTCCTTGGTACAACTATCTGCTTGTTGTCAGGTACGTGATAGCTTGCATCCTTCTCTGGAAGTTGAATAGTAAAGTAGTACTCTTTTCCAGAAATGTAATTGGTGGTGGAATCATACGTTATCTAAAATCAGGTTGGTGGATGCTCCAAATATTTATTAACAAGTACTATAATACAGGACAAACTTTTGCTGCTAAAACTTTTTGTTGCAACTCCATAATCTTTAACGTACTCCAAATTATAGGTTACTAGATCAGAGCAGAATCCCATGATAGCCACTTTAACTGAAAACTATTCTGTAGGTGGACTTCTGATTGGCAGGACTATTGCAGTACTCCTGACCATGACACTGTCGACATCGCTGGCTGCAAGGGAAGGGCCTGCTCCAATGGCTGGCCATCAGTTGTGCTTGCAAGTGTGGCTGACAATTTCTCTTCTCAATGATGCGTTAGCTCTTGCTGGGCAGGTCTGTACATTAAAAATATGTGACATTTCTTGTTGTGTTGTTTTAAAGTGTCCATAAATCAATGCAGGCTCTACTTGCAAGTGAATATACGAAAAGGAATTACAAGCAGGCCCGTTTGGTTTTATACAGAGTTCTGCAGGTTAATAATGCACATTGAAGTTCAGAAATACTTTATGTTAAAAAAAAAAGTTCAGAAATGTTACTGGAATATCTTACCTCCAGTCATGAGCTGCTTGCTGATACAGTTTGTTATAAATGTAGATTGGAGGTGTAACTGGAATTACACTGGCTGTGGCTCTGTTCTTTGGGTTTGGATCTTTCTCTGTGCTGTTCACAAATGATCCGGCAGTTTTAGACGTTGCCAAATCTGGAGTCTGGGTAATGATTTTAATGAAGCACCTGACATTCAGAGGCATGATATTGTTTATGCTCATTTTGACAATATGAACTCTTGTAGTTTGTCACTATTTCTCAGCCGATAAATGCTATCGTGTTCGTGATCGATGGGTTGTACTATGGTGTGTCTGACTTTGCCTATGCTGCATACTCTATGGTATGGATATCGTTTCCATTGTATCCCCATTAGGCTCCCATAAGTAAACACAGCGAGATTTTCTAGTGCTTACAATTATTGGCATCTGTATTCCTTAGTTTTTTGTTGGTGCTCTTTCATCGGCATTCCTACTTGCTGCTGCTCCTAAGCTTGGTCTTGGCGGTGTTTGGTCTGGTCTAGTTCTTTTTATGAGCTTGAGAGCAGCGGCTGGATTTTGGAGGTAGTGCCCGATGTTCCAGCTGATCTTTTTCTGGAAATTTGGATAGTGTAAACCTTGGTGACTCATAGCATTTTGCAGTTGTTTGCAGGTTAGGGAGCAAAGGTGGACCATGGAAGCACATCTGGTCAGATACTAAACTGATAAATGAGAAGAATAAGATTCGATGGGAAGATGGAAACAAAGATTACTGACAGCAAACGGCAATTACATGTAAACAACCAGTAGATCCTGATCTTACAATTATATAAATTGTGAACTACTACTAAGTTCAGATTTGAGGAAAAGGGAATATTCCTGTACTGGAGTCTTGAATAGAAGCAGCATGGAATTCTTAAATTTTACAATTGTTTTTTGTTTCTTATTTTCAGGTTAGGGAGCAAAGGTGGACCTTGGGAGGCTATCTGGTCAGATAGTGAGTAAAGCACAGATATGACCTTTGTAGAATCGATTGTTCAATTGATCTCCCACACTCCCACAGCCAGCAGGTAAAGGGCAAGAATTGTGCATACTGCTGCAGGTCATATATAGCCCTACGTGACAGGTAGCTCTGATGTAACTCTGTGGAAGATGTACAATAGCTGGTGTTGGATAACTGGGCTGTCTTGTTCTGGCTGCTGTAGGAGACTAGTAGGAGCTCACAACTTTCAACTGTAATAGGAAGTTTTAGTTGTACAAAAAGAAAGAAAGAAAGCTGTGTTCCAATAGAAAAACACATCCTGTAAAATTTGTTATGGAAATCCTCCTGTAAATGAAGCTTTGTCCAACATTTCTAGGATCTGTAAATCTGGTAATCATTTTTGGCACTATATAAACTCAGTTATCTGAAATAGAAGAATCTGAGTTGGTTGTTCCAATATTGTGCAAGTGGGTCTGAAATAGCCGTGCTTCCTCTTCTTTACTTGGAACCTTGTAGGGCCTTCTTGGTGTTCTTCTCTAGATCCACCATCAAGCACCGTGGTTGCCCTAAGTTCATTGCGTACTTTTTCGGCACACCGTTGTATGCAAACTATTTCTTCTTAATATAAAAACACACAAGTCTTTTGCGTGATTGAGAAAAAAAATCCTCCATTATCCCCAATTGCTTGCTGAGCGCGTGTTTAGTTGCTAAACCAAAATCCAAAAAAGTGTTACAGTACCCATCACATCGAATCTTGCGATACATGCATGGAGCATTAAATGTAGACGAAAAAAAAAACTAATTGCACAGTTTGGTTGGAAATTGCGAGACGAACGTTTTGAGCCTAATTAGTCCATGATTGAACACTATTTGCCAAATAAAAACGAACATGCTACAGTAGCCCAAATTTCCAAATTCAGGAAACTAAACACGCTCTGAATTCCAAACCTCCCTCTCCCTGAGGTTGTATGTACTCCGATTATACCTGAATCAAGTTGTTTGTGAACAAATCGAGAAGGATCATTTGGACATTGCAAATTTGTTACCATGGGCTCTGGGCCAAGAGGATGCTAGACAGACAATAGGCTAGAGCCCATAGTGAAGGGGAAACAAACAGGCCCAAACAGCCAGCCCAGGTAGAGCAGAGGAGATTTCGTTTGCGTGTACCAGGATAAAGAGGGAGAGGAGCAGCAGAGACCAGAGAGCAGTGAGTGGAGCAGAGCAGAGGAGGAGAAGGCGGCCAGCCGGAGACAGAGGAGGAAGAGGAAGCGAGCGAGGATGCCGTGCCTAAACGTGTCGACAAACGTGAACCTGGAGGGGGTGGACACCTCCGCCATCCTCGCCGAAGCCTCCAAGTCCGTCGCCAGCATCATCGGCAAGCCAGAGGCCGTAAGCCTCCGCCTATCCCTCCCCCGCCGGACTTCTCTCTCCCCCTATGGTTCTGCTTCCCCTTCTGTCTCTTGTTGCTTGTGTAGGCTCTTGTAGATTGTGTGTCTATTTGGTTATGCTTCTTTTTTTAATTATTAACACTTGACACTTGGCAACCTGTTAGGGTTTTGAGCAAGATGTGCATCGCTGCATGACACCTTTCTGTACGTTATCAATCAAATTGATCGTGTTTGTTGATGTTAGTTTTAAGGGAATTCATGTGAATCAGTAAATCTCCCAATTTTTTCTACTGTTTGGTAAATAATACTGCAATGGGGGATTTTTACCCCTACTTAGCTTTTATTTTGGGGGAAAATCCTCAAGGTGCATTATGGACGCCCCGGTGTTGATTCTCACTGAACTCACTCGGAGAATCCCTAGGATGGGACTGCAATCTCCTGCATATCGCGGACATTCTTAAATTGAGTTCATATATAGTTAAACTGTATTTTTTTTATTTTAATAGTTTCAACATTGAGGAAGATAACTAGATAACTCAAAGTATCAGATTGCACACCCAGTGTCTATGTGGGACTGATACAATGACCATTGTGATCACTCAGTACAAGAAATTCCAAACCATTCGGCTACCAATTTAACAAATGTAGTTACAGCAAACTAACTGATGAAAGTCTGTGCTCACAGTGTTTTTGGACCAGATTTCTATCAACCAGCAACCCCTAGTGGCCTAGTGTATACCATCCTTCAGCACTAATCTCAAGTGCTGTTAAATTATGTGGACCATGGGCTGCGTGTGCTTTTCCTTTATGTACCCTAGTACTACAGATAGATGAAATTTGTAAGTTCATCTTTATCGGTCATTTTGTGTTAGTGTTCTCTGGCAGCTGCTTTGCTAGTAGTTCAGCACCCAAATTTTTATGCTCCGTACTAGAGGTCACAATTTTTCATCTTCTGTTAGCCGTTTAGTCTATTTAGTGTTAGTCAGGCACGCAGGCAGCTGCTTTGCTACTATCAAGGACAAAAATGACTTCTCTGAATAGTGAATACATTGGATTCATAACCTGACCATGCTAATCTCATTCTCATCCTAACATTAGTTGGGTTCCTCGTTGGTAACCTGTGGTGCTAGGTCCAATTTACTGAACTTTAGCTTTTATAGTTTCTCTGTTCTTGACTTTGGATGAAGTCATTTCTCTTGAGTACTATCATGTTGAGGAACTAACTGGAATGGTTGTTCTCCCACAGTACGTGATGGTTGTTCTCAAGGGTTCAGTTCCTATGGCATTTGGAGGTACCCAGGAGCCTGCAGGTTACGGTGAGCTGGTTTCCATCGGAGGCCTGAACCCTGCTGTGAATAAGAAGCTTAGTGCTGGCATTTCTTCTATCCTGGAGTCAAAGCTGTCCATTCCCAAGTCGCGCTTCTACCTCAAGTTCAATGACTCAAAGGTAGGCAGCCAATATTTCTTATTGAGTGCTCAGTCATGGGGTCCTTTTAACCTTCACCAAAGTTCTCATTAATTTTGTTGTTTGTTAGGCTCATCCTGCACAAGAAAATGCTCAATGTTTGCATGCTTTGCATCAAGAATAGATCATGTAAATAACCACCTGTTGTTCCATTCCATCTTCTTGCCTACGTAGATGGTGTTAGGATCTTCACTGTGAGCATATTCTCAATGTCATGCTGATCGTGAGCACTGATACATTCATTATAATGAATCATGCAGGGCTCAGACTTTGGTTGGAACGGCTCCACCTTCTAGATTTGGGGTCGTATCTTTAATAAAGGAAATTCATGGTACCTAATGCCATGGCTGTTGCCAATTAAGAACAATGTCATTAGATGTTTGTAAATTGGTGCTGAACTGAGAATCGGTAACTGTCCTGTGGAACTGGAAGTTGGATGCAGACGTGTTGTGTGGCACCTAGCATGCTTGTGCTATCTTATTATTGGCTTGAGACCAGTCTATATATTATCTTGGTTGGTCCTTCGGGTATGGTAACTGTATCTTCAAATGGTGTGTTCTTTGTTGACCTAGGAAAAATCTGCCAAAGCTAGTGTTGTTGTCACAACATTACAGTTACATGGGATATTGGCTGCTAACTGAAATTTCTTCATAGCCACTATCAAGGAATGATGCAAGGGGAGGGACTGAGGTAGGTTTGGTCACTTAGTATGGTGCAAGAACTTTGTTGGTGTGCTGGATGTTTCTTCTTCTAGATCCAAGCAAAGGTACATGGTGGCTGATTGACAGTGAAAAAAGAGAGGGGAAGATGCATTGCAGACCTGTAGCTGTAGGTAGTGACATTGGACCTGCACCTACTCTTGTTGGCTTGGTTGCTGGCTTGCTGCCTAACCTGGAAAGTGGCCTTTATTTCTTGTTGAATTGAATTTCTTCCGGTGCATGACACCACACCACACCACACCACATTGCGTCTGTACCAAACCATTGTTTTTAGTTGCATAATAAAGCACTTTGCTGCTTTCCTTGGCAACTCGAGCGCGGAGTGAGTTGTGCCACACGCCAGGCTCCCTATGACATGTCTTTCCTTTTTTTTTTTCTAACAATACTGAAATTGTTCACATATCCCACATCAAACTGTCTATACAAACTCAAATGTAACCGACGATTTTGTACATAACCTGTTTTAGTTTTTTTTTTCTACTGTAACTATTGTCAGCCGATCACAGTTCCTCAATCTAATGAGGAGCCAACCAAAAAAAAAAGTTGATTTTTAGGGGTTTTTTTTTCTAGCAAGAAGAAAACGTGCAGTCGTGCATCGTGGTGAACAGTTGACCTGTGTGTGGGTGCGGTGCGGCCTTCTTTGCCAACCACGACGGGCCTCCATTTGTATATTCGCGCCCGTTCCTCTCCGCGTCCTCCTCCCCCTCCTGCTCCTCAGATCCGCCAAACCCGCCAAGAGAGATCGCAGATCGCCATGGCCGCGGCCTCGCCTCCGCTCCTCCCCACCAGCGTCGTTCCGGCCGCCGCACCATCCGCCACCCCCACTCCCGCACCCATACCCACGTCCCTCTCCTCCGCGGACGCCACCGACGCCAACCCAGCGGCGATCCGTGCCTTCCTCTCGCGCCTCGTCGACACCACCCGGCGCGCTCTCTCCGGCGCGCGCCCGTGGTCCGAGCTCTCGGACCGCTCTGCTCTCTCCCGCCCGGACTCCCTCGCCGAGGCCACCTCCCGCCTCCGCAAGAACCTGGCCTACTTCCGCGTCAACTACGCCGCGGTGACCGCGCTCTGCCTGGCCGCGTCGCTCCTGGCGCACCCGTTCTCGCTGGCGGCGCTCCTGGCGCTGCTGGCGGCCTGGTGCCTCCTCTACGTGCTCCGCCCCGCCGACGCGCCGCCCGTCGCGGCCTTCGGCCGCGCCTTCTCCGACCGCGAGGTGCTCGGCGGGCTCGTCGCCGCGTCCGCGTTCGTCGTCTTCCTCACGTCGGTCGGGTCGCTCATCTTCTCCGCGCTCGCGCTGGGTGCGGCCGTCGTGTGCGCGCACGGCGCGTTCCGCGTGCCGGAGGACCTGTTCCTCGATGAGGTTGGTGACCAGGGTGCTGGTGGCGCTGGTAACCCGCTGCTGTCGTTCATCGCCTCCGCCACCGGAGGAGGCCGTGTCTGATGAGTCTCCGTGAGATCTAGATGCTTGCACTCTCGTCTCGCAGGGAGACTGGGAGATCATTGTCATTTCTTGAATTCTTTATCAATTGCGCGAAATATACAACACAAAAGATACTATAGCTAGATTACACAAAGAAATGAAACTTTGGATTTACTAGTCAGGTCCATCTAGTGGTGGTGATGAGCAGAAAAATATTTTGTTATATCTTGTCATTCGTAGCATTGTATTTGTATTATTTTTATTGCCTATTCTTATGACAATAATCAGTAAACATCACCAAATTTGCGCTCAACAACCCATGGTTGCATGCGTTTGATTATTTTTAGTTAGGGACGCTGGATTTGGGCTTACTTTTGGCCATGGTGTAGAACCAAATTTCAGCGCAAAAAAGATGTCTTATATGTGTGCAAAGGCCAAAGAGGAGTTTTCTGTAAAATAATACAAAAAATAAATCGCCCACCGTGGGGCTCGAACCCACGACCACAAGGTTAAGAGCCTTGCGCTCTACCTACTGAGCTAGACGGGCTTTGCCTGGTAGTGGCGTCTCCTTCTTTCGTGAAAATGGACCAGCTGCTGGCGTCCAATTCCTTCACTCTTCTTTGCAGCTGAGGATAGCGCTGTAATCACTCGAACCAGACTATTATTACTAGTACGTTTATCTTATTGTAGTCCTTATTAGTGGTTAGTACGTTTGAACCTTGTTTTGGACGATGATGTAGTAATAAAAAATATATTTGCACTTCACGTGCGTCTAAATAGAACCAAGCTAAGTAGTAGAGACCTAGGAGCCGATGATGGAGTTACTTTTTATCCTAATGTCGACTATTTGTTGTTGACAACGGACTAATAATCTAAGTGAAAGTTTTTAATAAGTTTAGCGTAGCGTAGTCTTATTTTCATGAAAAATTCAGTTAGTACCGCAACATATGATCTAAAATCACAATATATAATATAAGCAACGCACAAGAGATATCTAATAATATCCCTTGTTTCAATAATAATTGTTATGTCATCTCTCTCAGCTTTCTATCTTATAGCTGCCTATGAAAGTTTCATCATTTGTTTTGCAAAAAAAGAAGGCGCCAAAAAAAGAAAGTATCATCATTTGCCTTGTGTCCGTCACTATTTTGCCCCAAGTTTCAGTGCCTTCGTTTTGTTCCCTTGACAGAGAGAGATGCCTACAAGTCAAAAGGTAAGACAAAGAGATTCCAATTGATCCAAGGCATAGTCCCACTCCTCAGCGACGAAGCTAGAAAATTTTTTTAGGACGGGCTGAACAAAAATCTACGGCAATGATCCTCAGAATCTGTATAATTATACATAAAAATTTAAGGGGGGGGGGGCTTAGGGGGGCTTTGCATACCTGGGATCGGTAGGGGGGCTGAAGCCCGGCTTGCCCGGGTGCTAGCTTCGTCGCTGCCACTCCTACGTTTTGGCATGGTGACTAGTGAGACCAGATTCAAGGCACGTGCACTTGTTTTTGTTGCCTTTTTCTATTGGTCGAATTCCAATGTTTCAATTAATTTTCTTGAACTCCTCCATTGAATCGTGTACATAGATTAAAACAATTCATTTATACTATTTATATATACGCCGTAGCAAGTTCGATTTCACTGCATGGGCTTTTAAATCCCCACCAAAATTCATGTCGAGCAAGGTAAGTATTTTTTTGTAAAAAAAACTAATATAACTTCAATTTATATATGATGATAATAAATAAGAAAAGCAAAAGTCAAGTAGAGAGATTGTCTCAGAATAATATTTTTGTACTATCGTAGTACTATATACATATATTTTTGAATAACAATATATAGCATGTAACAAGTATATTACTAATGCATAAAAAAAGTATATTACTAATGGATTATGTTTTTTTATATATTTTATAATTACTCCTGGTAAAGGGGATTACGGAGCCAATTACGGTACGGCAGACGTTGAAGGTTAAAGAGATGTGGGTCAATGTTGGGCCCACATGTCAGTCTTCGGTACCTTACTACGTCACGGTAGCAAAGGCAAAGGAGTACGAAGGAGGCAACAAGAGAGAGAGATAGAAAGGCCTACCAAGATACAACTCCCCCCTTCTTCCCCTCGCGTGCGTTCCCCTCTGACCCGAGCAAAGGCGGCGGCGGCGGCGGCGGCTCCTCATCTCTCGCCTGGCCGGAGCCGAGCGCGCCACGCCGGCGCCTCGGATATCACGATTGGTATGCCCCTTGACCTATCTCGCTCTTCGTCTCCTCCCCTCTCTCTCGTCATGTGGCACCGTCGGGGGAATTCTCATAGATCTGTCTCGTGCCTGCAAATTTCTCCCATCAGGTTCACTAATCTTCATGTCTACGGCCTCCTCGGGCGTCCTGGGACCGAAAGGCGGGACCTTTCGGCGCGATGCCGTGAGTTTTCAGTTTGTCCTCTACGTTCCTACCCTATGTCATGAACCGATCTGTCCCGTGCCTGAAAATTTCTCCCACCAGGTTCACGAATCTTCATGTCTACGGCCTCCTCGGGCGTCCTGGGACCCGTGAGGAGGTGCAAAACAACATCTATTGAGAGACATGACTTTCCCCTGCTGTTTCATAATCCTTCTCATCAGATCTGAATCAAAAAGACACCTGACAGGTTATTGTTACTTCCCATATTATCATACGTTTCAGTTAAATACATGCTGACCATTACTTCGTTGCAGTTAAATACATGTGATCCTACTCCGGCGCAAATGGAGGTACACAGACATCTTGTCTCAGGTGGCTCTGTGTGGCGGCAGTTGATGCACTTTGCAGACTGATCTGTTAAGGAAAGCGAGATGTGTCTGGGGTGCGCGAGGACTGGCACTGCAGTGTCCTAGGTTGTAGCCATGCTGGCAGACGGAGATGGCTGCATGTGTTCTTGGTTTCTTGCCGTCTGTCATTTGCATAGAACATTCCACTGCCTTGTGTTCTTGCCAGGCGTTGCGTGCAAAGAACATTCCACTGCCTTTTGCAAGGTGAATATTCCACTGTCTTTTGCAAGGTGATCCTGATAACCAGATTTTGTATGTAAGTGACAAGAGGTTAATAGGATAAGCTAGCTAACTGCCTGTTATGTGTTAGAAGGAATTTTAGCATGAGCATCCATGTTACAAACATAAATATTAGATTTTAGCACTGATGTTGTTCAATTGCTCTGATATTCATGGTTAAATTGGTTTAGATAAATGCCTTAATTTCTATCAGTTACTCCCTACGTGAAAAAGAATCAAGCATCATCTATGAGAAAGACTAATTATTTGCAAACTATAGTTGGTTCTCTGCTAAGCCTTGTTTGCTTGGTATCACTGGACTTTGTCCAGCCAAAATGGTTTCAAGAGGTTGTTCGGTTGTTATCAGCTGTGCTGCAAGCTTGCATCACATTTGCCTTTTATTCTAATCAAACTTAATGCAAACATAGAGGTGCATGTTATATTCATTTTTCAGATTTGCAGAGAAAGGTGTATCGTTTAGTACTGTAGTTCACTCCCATATGTCTTCTTTGTACATTTGCAGGTTTCTTCCACAACTCTTGTGCACCAACAAAATCATGGACTACTTGCTGAGTACATCAGTTTATCTCTAATTTCAGATTTGATGCCCTAATGTGCCTTTATATATTGAATTTAGTGGTCTGCCTTGTAATGATTATGCGCAGCGTGGCAATGTTGGTGCTTATCATGGCTGCAATTTTTTCAACATGTTTTCACAAACAAGCTTCCCATTTTGTAAACATGTTTTTTTGGATTGCAACTTTTTGTTTGTGTTAATTGAAATTTTTTTTGTGCTTGCAAAATTTGGTTCCTGGAATAGTGATGTAGTTTTTATGCTCCTGATGCTGGTGGCCTTTAACAGACCGACTGTACTTTTGTTAATATGTGTGTGCACAATACTATCAAATAGATTCTGTATTTAGACCACAATATGTAAGATCATATATAAGTTTGGTTTCACATATCCTAAATCAGTTCTAAAATTCCAGTCTGAACCTGAATTTGATGCTTTGACTTTTTATCCAGCCTATATGATCTTGAATGAATAGGTTCATGCACTATTTTAGAGCTACATTTGATAAATAGGTAGTAATTCAATACGTGGAACACGCTTTTCATGGGTTCTTAGCATTTGAGAAGGTTTGAAACCAAAAGCATGAGCTATGGTTTGTGCCGTTAGCTATGTTTTGTGATGTTATTAGTTGTACAACCATGTGATTACCAGCATTCCAACAAAGCAAACATTTTGTATGAGCACAGGCAGTTAATGAAAAGAGGCATGTTAATTACTCTCCCTAAATCATGGTGTACGACCCAGTTAACTGTTTGCATTCAGTTAGGACACTCCTGGTTTCAGACAAATACAGAGACATGGTAATTACTCACCCTAAATCATAGCCCAGTTTGCTGTTTGGTTCGTTATGTATCTCAGCAAGCAAAAGCACAATTAAATCAATAGAGATTTAGTATTTAGTGCTGTTTTGGTGACTAATTGTGATATGGTGCTCTTGCTAGATTGGGTTTTCTTGTTGCCTGTGGTGGTAATAGCTTCAGAGACTACGGTGAGCTTGTCTTTCTCCATAGCCTTCATTCATTTGAATTATGCAGACAATGTATGTTCTCTGGAATCCTGCAAGGATGTTGGTATATGGTTATTTAGTGGCTGACTATGAAATGCTGCTAATGTTGATTGGGCTTGCAGCTTTGCTGGTTAGAACTGTCTCTCATAATTGGCTCTTTTTCTTGTCCCCCCCCCTGTTTAGTGGCCTAGTGACTGACACTGAGATACTGCCATTTTTAGATTGGGCTTTGTTATGTTGTTGTTGGCCTACTAAACCCTAAATTTTTAGATGATGAATGCTGCCCGGAGGGGCAGGGCGGTTAACCGCGGGGAAATTATGCTCACTGTGAGGTTGAGCCTAGATGAGACGTCCATGACTCCATTCCTCAATTTTGGTGGAATGACTCCATTCCTCATACTAGGACTAAATTAGCTTGTGAGGAATGAGGTGATGATGCATCAACATATTCCATTCCACAAACCAAACAGCATCAACATATTCCATTCCACAAACCAAAAAAAAAAAGGATTGAGCAGATGATGGACTAACTCATTCCTCAAACCAAACACGCTTGCCAACATAAAAGCCTGTACTAAAAAGGCGAGAGATGTATAGACCAAAACAATTCTCAATGTTCAGTAAACACAGCAAGCTGCCAGAAATGTGCATTCATGGTAACATCATCTCACCAGGACCATCTTGTTCTTCACAGAAGAGTATTCATTCACAGAACACACATTTAGAAAACTGATAGTTCATCTCAACATTCAACGTTCAGTAGTTTCGCTACACTGATGAGCAGCTTTTATTGATTTCCCTAACCATTGTTAAGAGTCTTACTTTTGCCACCTCAATTTTGTCTACCTGCAGGATGTGGTAAAGTGTATCAATGTTATATTCGGAATGGAGATATTTCAGTGTATGTTTCTGAATCTTATACAATGACCATGTATCTGTGGGGTTGGGGGTTCATATGACTTACGTTCAGTGGTTCTTAAGCATCTTACTCTTGGCTGCGGCAGCAGCTTGGGCAGCAGCTGCCTTCTCCTGCTCCTTTTTCGCAAGAGCACACCAGGCATCGTGATTTAGCATGTTGAACATGCTGTAGATATCATCTGTCCCACACCTGTAACACTTCACCTTGTTCCCTTTGAGAACTGGCTTGGGGACATGCTTGTACACGGCCTTCTTCCTTGTCGGCATCTTGTCCTGCGAAGTTATGCACCACAGATTTAATATTTTGTACAGATCACAAATTTAACTATATTGAATTTACTGCACTTGGATCAGAAAATAGGATTCATCAGTCATAGAGATTTAGCAATTCATGGTAGATCTAAATGATTCATAATTCAGTGATTTAGCAATTCATGGTAGATCTAACACGTGATTATGAATCATTGGGATTAAGTAATATACACATTTGACTGTTGCATATATTGAATTTACTGCACTTGGATCAGAAATATGATTCATCAGTCAGAGATTTAGCAATTCATGGTAGATCTAAATGATTCATAATTCAGTGATTTAGCAATTCATGGTAGATCTAACACGTGATTATGAATCATTGGGATCAAGTAATATACACATTTGACTGTTGCAGTTAATCATGAAAGATTTAAATACAATTATCAATCATCGGGATTAAATAATACAAGTTCAACTGTAGCACATATCCTTGTTTAGTTGTAGTTTATATATGATAATTCAGTAATAACAGGTATTTAGCAATTAATGAAAGAGCTAAATACAGATTATTGTCAATCATTATGTTTAAATAAATAATACAAATTCGACTGTAGCACAACTCATTGGTAATGAAGAATCGGCACTTGCATGTATTAGAAATTCATGATTCAGCGCCCACAGGGATTTAGCGGATTCATGATAGACTACTTAGGAATTCAATGATTTCCAGTTTTCTAATAATATTTTGGTGACATATCGCATCCATTGGACAGGACGAATGGTCGGACAAGGATTGAGGCGCAAACGACATATGAGACGAATACTGAGACGGAAATGAGGCGCAAACGACATGGGACGAATACTGAGACGGAAATAAAATCTAACCGGTGTGGCGGATGAATCCCCTGTTGCGGCATTCTAACCAAAGCATTTTGACGCCAAAAAATAATAGTAAAAAAAAAATCCGTCGAGTTATGGTGGTTCAATCTGCTCTCATCGGTGGTTTAGGGTTTGGAAACAAGGACAAGCTAGTCAATCAAACAGCGATAGGGGGGTTTTTAGGGTTTATAAGCGGGTACAGCAGATCGGACCAGTCAAATCAAACAGTGATCAAGGTGTTTTTTTACGGTTTATAAGCAGGAACAACAAATTGTGCCGGTACAATCAAACAGCAAAATGCAAACCGGATCAAAGAAAACAGCGGCCAGACAAGGATTAAGAGGCACGACGTGGGTAGATCTAGCATCATAGTTCCGTGCGATATCACAGCGACCAAATCAAAAGAGGCCTCGTGGGTAGATTCATTTAGTTCGTGCGGTGCGATGCGATGCGGAAGCGCATCAAAAAAAGAGCAGATCGGATCAAAAAAGAGAGCGAGCGTGGGCACGAACCCCGATCCCCGAGCTCCGGCAGGCGAGGGGAAGGGGAGGAGGGCGAGCGCTCTCGAACACAACGATCTCGGCGGGCGGGGCGGGGGCTGGTGCTCCTGTCGTCCTGCTGCGGGAATGCCGGAACGGAATGCCAGGTGGAAGCAGAATGGCTTGCGCTACAAGATGAAATAAAGTTTAAGCTGGGCCGGGCTGGGCTAGGCGGACGCTGGTCCACTAAGCCTGGCGTCCACCATGCACGAACTTTTATTTTTTGAGCAAAATCAGCCCCACGAATATCATTCTTTTTCTCGATAGTTTCAAAAAAAAAAAATCTTTTCTCAACTTGTAAGATTGACAAGAGCATCTCCAATAGTTAAAAAAAAACAATGGGTAGATCAATGATTTTTCCAAGTGGATAAAAAAAGTTTGGAATATATTTGTTGGGTTCTTCCAAAAGTTTGCAAAAATCTAGATCCTAAAATATAGAAAACAATTTACATCAAGAATCTAGTCTGTTTTAAAATTGTTCTAATCACTTTTATACCTTTTTTTTTTAATCTAAACCCTATCCTACTTATGCTTCCCCACGTCCTTCCACCTTATTGGCCGATGGATACACGCGTGTACATATCCGCGCGATTGGACCGATTGGAGTTGTTGGGGATGAGTATTTCTCAATGAAGATTGGGAGTGGGTTTTAGAAACTCTTGCAGATGCTATAATGTCGTGTGTGGAGATCGGAAAGTGAGTAAGGCGGAATAGAGGATTAATTTGTTTTTTGGGGGTGGTTAAAGAGCATCTTCAACAATACCTCTAGTTTCACAACGTTTTCAATATAAGGGAAAAAAATAACAACGGCGAACATGACCGCCAACTTGGTGCACCTTACAGCCGTAACCTTCGAAACAGAATGTCCATTGTATATTCTACTATACATACTCCTCGGTATTCTCCGATCTAAAAACAGGATCTAGAGATTCAATTTCGGCGAACCTTGCGGCAACGACGGTTAGGGCGGCAGAGTGCCGAATGTCTCGGTACGCACCCTTATTGCAACCGTTCATTTAATTCAAAGATTCGTGCCTTTTGGCGTTCAGGATTTTTCAGCAGCTTGCGTGGATGCCAAGTTGGCCTGCTTTTACGCTCTCTGGGTACTCGTAGCGTTTTCATGGTGTATTTTACTGCACACTACAGTATCTGCCTCAGTAGTTATTTACGGATTTACCCCACGCAAGGGGGTCAAAGTCAAACCGCCAAACTAGCTCACCCGGTGCGTGCTCGGCGGCGGCGCCCCGTTGCGTACTCGGCGGCGGCGCACAGAGCTGCGGCAGGGGCACCACTTAGCGAGGTCATGAGCACCCACGTCTTCCGCCGTGCACATCGCAGGCCTTCTCCACGACGCGGCTGACAGGTCTCGCTCCAGCGCGGCCGCAGGCTCCAGCACGGATGCAGCAGCCACGGCGACGCCCGCCGAGAATAACAAAGCCTGCCGATCGAGTCATGCGCATCCAGATCTTCCACATCCCTCTCTTGTGAGTTCACCATTTCCTGTCCCTTACGCTCTTTGTTGATTTGGAGCCTGCCGATTCCATGAACGGGTTATATAGCCCTACTAGTGTTTTTTTAACTCCTTATTTACTGAATTTCTGGTGTTCCTGTGTTTCTTGGGGTCTGGTGATATTTGGGGATGATCTATATGTCGTATGATGATGGCGTACCAATTTGTTGTACATCGTGGCTGATCTGGTGTAGTTATTTATGATTGTTTCAATACAGCTCTAGTCCTGATTCCTGAATCTGTGCTTAGCAAATTTACCCGTGCCAAAGATGGCTCTGTGAACTGTGAAGCTCTGAAATGCTAAAATCATATGATTGGGAGGGAATTATGAATATCATATTCTAGGTGTTGTGCTCAGTGCTTACAGTCATAAGATGTATAAACATTATATTTTCCTAGTTGCATATGTGAGCAATACATTCTCTAGATTCCCAATGGTAACTTCAGTTAATCGATTTAACTCTTGTCTTGCTGGTCAGGTCTATGAACTGGACATGCTTTTGTCCCTGTTGCAGAATTGAAGGCTACAAGGCTCGATGGCCGAATAACGAAGAACAGACATGTATTTATCCTGACCACTTAAAGAAGCTCTTGGTATGCCTGATGATGCCCCACCCCCATTGTTTATAAACATGTAGGTAATAGGAATTCCCATGCAGCTAGTCCTCTGGTTGATAAATGAACCCCTTCAGTATTAATCTTTTTGACATCATATTAATTTTCCAGCAATATGGTCCCCCACCCTCCTACCCTCAACTGAATATTCATGGTCTGAATGCTCCAATTCATCCCGGTGCAAGTTTTCGATATGGATCTGGAGAATGGGGAAAACCTCTTGTTGGTTGTCATTTTTCTTCTTCTGGGCCCTGATCTAGTGAAATTTATCCTTAGTGAAATTACAAAGTTCTCATGTAACCTAATATTTCTCAGCATGGACGTCACTTTTATGGAGATGTTTTCGGGGATCCTACAACAGGATGTACCTAATCATGATGTATGTCTGATCAGAACATTTCTTTTTTTTATCCAAGTTTAGTATTTTTGTGTACTTACCCTGGTTGAATTTGTTGAGTTATGTTGCATTACAGGGGGAGCCTATTGACCGCAGCAAGCACTAGGGAGACCTAGAGGAGGAGGATATGTGATCGAGCAGGAACAAGAGTAAGTATAAAGCTTGATCTTTTTTAACGAGATAGTACGGAATATACAAGTTTCATTCTAGTGATACGTTGGTTTGGATTCTGATTACAAATGGTTTGGATTGTGTTTACAAATTGTTTCTGTTGCCTTACAGATAAACTCGTGTCCTATGCTCCGCCAATCCTTACAGATAGATTTCCCTTCTGCTCCCCCAAATCCGCAGATAGACTTTCATGTGTTTCAGATAAACTACTCTCCCACTCTATGACATGTGACGTTTATTTTACTTCAATTGATCAGTTCAGGAGGGCACTCCAACTTCTGGATCCCACTAATCTCACAAGCACTGCACATTTTGGTCTTGACTCTTTGTTTATTTTTTATGAAACAAATCCATTCATGTATATCCCCTCTGATTAAACTGTGTCAATAGATATCGACATGGTGAGTCGTTTTAAACACTTCTGTGTTTTTTTTTTTTTTGCCCTCATTTCATTTTGCAGGCAAACTTATCAAGTGCCAACTTGGAATAGGTATTTTCCACAATAAACGTAAACGATTACTTCAAAGGTGCCAACAAAAGTGGGCCAGGCAAGTGATTTTTGACATAATCACATAAACAATAGCGTCACCATGCATCATTTTTTTTATCCTGCAGATTTTACAGATATCCTGCTGTGAGAAGATCAACAGGAATACCTCCATAATCACTGATCAGTAAGAACACCTCTGCAAAATCACTGATTGGTGAGAACGCACTGCATCGACATGGACTGATTCATGGCCATTCAGTCAAGTAATATGTTAGCAGATCTCATTGTTTCAAGACCAGAGTGAATTCAAGCACTGGGAACCTCACGAAGGTGACTATTCTGCAGCTCATCGGTGGAAGACCCTATCACTTATGAGACTTATTCCGTGCCTGCATGAACTTGTATCTGCTGCTGGAAACATGGCAGAAATGTAAATTAAGTTGCTCTTTTAGTGCCTCTCCTTTGATTAGCGTTGAGTTCCAAAATAGTTGGGACCCACCATCTGGTGGCGGTTCTGAAAAAATGATGTACCTCTTTATTAGATTATTCTGATTACTGTAAAACGTATAGATGTGTTCTGTAAAAAAGAAGAGATTGTTCTAAAATAAAATGGATATTCTGTATGTTTTGAAATGCATGTTCTCTAATTTCATATCACTTTTGAAAAACGTCCACTAATTAAGAAGCAATATATCTATTACATATCTGCAAGTAATTGGGATATGAAGTACAAAACAACTATTTCAGGTTCCAGATCTAGACTCGTCGCCGATCTTCCATGCTCGGACTCCCCCGCTGTAGCTCCACCTAATTTTTCTCCCTCGCCAGAGCCGGACTCCTCCATGGCCCCTCTTCCTCACTGAAGAATTTAGAGTGGTTTAACCAAACTATTAGAGATGCTCTGTGCGGCCCGTCTCTCCCTCACTGAAGAATAAGAGGGATGGTTATTCGGCTGCTGCTATCTCTTGCTATCATTTTCCTTTTCTGGATCCTCACTGCACTGATTATATTGCCAGAGTTCATGTGATTGGCACTAGATACAGAACCTGAACTGATAAAATACCTTCAAAATAATTATCATAGGCAATTACATATGAGTTCAACATCACCCCCTGATAATGCTATGTACATGTACTTGTATATACATCTTAAATTTTGACAACATATTCTCTGAGATTTCAACTACTGCACTTGACCCAAAATTTAAGATGTATATACAAGTGCAGTAGTTGATACTGCTATATACATAACATGATATATCCCAAGGTTCTTGTGTTTCTTCAGGTACACTGATCACTGTATTCCTGGACACCTGCAAATGCAAGTCCCCTGTGGTGGACACCTGCAAATCCAAGTACCTCTGTATCTCAAGTAACGAGGTGAATATTATTTGTACTAGAATGAAAACTGCCGAGGAGTAAACACTGTTGAAAACAGTGTCAAGAGGGTGGATAGGAACTGCAGAAAATGACGTATGAAGGAGTACCATATATTTCGAAATTGTTAACGAAAACTGTTAGAAAAATAGGCCTACAAATTACTTTGAGCTTAAACCCAACTTACTGCTTGTTCATTTAGTATATTCCATTCAGATTCACGGCTTCACCCAGCTCTTGATGCAGGGTGCTGGAAATGAAGAGGCACAGAAAAATACATATATTGAGTAAGCTATATATATTATTATATGGAAACACAATAAATAAATTAAACAATAAACATTGTATGCAGAGTTCTAGTAGCTGCAAATTTAAATGCATGGATTTTTCAGGTAACATGTTCATCTGATTTTTGGGTAGTCCGGTAGCCAATTTTCCCTATATATAATGGTAGTGGTACACTGGTACTAGATCCTGTCAACAGCTGGCGCAATAATGTGAATTTTCTTTTTTCTTCAAAAATAAGAAAAAAATTCAGACATGATAGAAGATTAGTGGTAGTAATAATTCGGTAGCAAGCTATTGCATTTCTACCTTTGATGAGGCGGCATGCAGTATAAATAGGGGGATGTGGCACCAGCGGAGCCGTTCCAGCTGAAGGTAGTGGAGGCAGGAGGTGGTGGTCAAAGCAGGACAGCTGCAAATCTTATGGCGATGTGTATTTTATATTAGTTTTTTAGCTCTAGTCTCCACCCTATTTTAGTTAATTTTAGCTAAGTTATGGAGCCTCTTTAATTGGCAGATAAGGTCAGGGTCAGTATTCAAGTTTCTATTACTTTTGTCAAGTTTCTATTACTTTTGTCTCTTCAAAACAGGAAAGCCATGGCAAATCTAAAACACACATACAAGTACTACTACATCATGGTGCCAGATTCAGCTGAATGCATATATAGCCAGTTGAACTCAAAAACCTAATTAGCTGATTGGAAAGTATGGACAATTTTCTTATATATTTAGAAAATGCTATCAAAAGATGATATAATACCCTGCCATAACAAGAAACTAGTGATATGCTTCGTATCGTATACGTTACATAATTGTTGGTATATATATATATATATATATATATATATATGATTTTTCTTTACATAAGTCGAAGTAAATTGCAAGAAATAATGTATATGTAGGGGCATGTAGCTATTTAGCTAGGTGGCACGATCCAGAAAGGTTTGCGGCAAAGAATCAAGTCTTCACGGTTGTGGACTTGGGTAATCTCTTGGCTGTTTGTTTCCAAGTCAAAAATGCACAGGTCACCATCATCATCCATAAAATTCTTCATAAAGAATATCTGGTTTGCTTTCAGTCCCAGAGCGCTCGCCGCGCAAGAAGTCGCCATGTTTTCGTCCTCCAAGAGAAACACAACGTCTCCAATGTCATGCACCCTGTGCCAACACTCTTGCGTCGAGGAGGAGAAATCCATCCTATGCACCTCTATGGCACCAATGTTGTTTGGATTAAATGCAATGAAGCCAATGGTAACAACAAAGAGTTGATCCTGCGACTCAACCAACCACTGTCTGCCCGAGCACAATCCATTGGGGAGACCAACATCCGGGATGTTGAATTTTTGGAATGTAGGGCGGTTGTGATTTGCCGTGGAAGTACAGGACGAGAAATCTATGGCACGCATGTCTTTAGGCCAATTGGTGAAGTAGATTTTCCCTCGGAAGGAAGCCATGATGGAGATGATTTTCTTGACAGGGCGGATACGGCGACGGGCCTTTTTCCCCTTTGGTGGCTTGGGTATAGAAGGATAGTTACCGATGTTGTATGAGTGATATCTCCAATTGTTGTTGCTGCTGCTGTTGTCGCTGGTGGCAGTGTGGCAGTACCAGAAATCTGGCGCAGCACAATTGAAGAGCACGACGACACATTGTGGGTGAGCTGGGTCCTTGTGAGAGAGTAGGCACACATTATGGTACTGGATTTGGTGCTCCTCCTCCCCTACGATATCTGGCAAAGGAAGCTTGTCGCCGGTGCTAGGGTTCCATAGGCAAGCTGAAGACACCGTGCCATGGTCCTGGAAGAGGAGTATCCATCCTTGTGGAGTGGTCCAGCACATGCTGCTGTTGCCTGCGCTTACATGGCGACGCTCCATGTTCCTGTGCAAGCTTTGCTTGGATATGCTGAACATTAGCATCTCGTCTTCATTGTCCTCTTGGCCGTCACGATGATGGTGGAAGACAAGCAAAGGCAAATATGACGACATCATGGAGGATCCAATTTTACTCGCATCTTTGTGTTCCACCATGGTTCTTCTTCCTGGTCGAAGACGAAGGAATGTACCTGTAGGAATCAGAGCGAGGTTAATTAGGCTGCAGAAAGAAGAACATGTATAGATGGCTGCTGCCTTTCTGAATAGTGATTTATAGAGTTTTAAGTTTTATATATATATCTGATCTGTACATCGATTGATGGCTCTCACCAGGTGGATCACAGTTTGGGTCGCCGGATCGGATAAGCAGAGCAGAAACCTGTCGATCCGGTGAGCAGGTATTCTAATCTAATCTTGAGGTAGAGCAGGTATTATACACGTACACGATGAGATATGATGCAGCTAGGCTCTCTCTGCTCGATCGCTTATATAAGCAACAGAGCTCCTACGTCGGATTGGAGTTGCATTGGTACTGGAATTGGAATTCGAATTTGTAACATGCCAAACGTACAGGGTCCTGGTCCAATTCTATTTCTATTTTGCTACTCTATATTTCCAAAACAAAAATCCAATCCAAATCTATAAACTGGGAACGTGAATCTTGGTCGGTCCGTCCGTGATTCCAACAAGTCCGATTAGTTGCGGACGGCTCCTCGCAGCCCCGCCCAACCACCGTACGCAATCCATTATATAGGCTCATATACATATACATAAATAAATCGAACAAATTAGAAGCTGTTTCCAACCTACTATTGCAAAATTTGAGAGAAATTCGGCCATCGCCCTCGACTCCGATAACAAACAAGGATCAGACTGAGAATCAAAGTGGCAGCACGAGCAAAGGGATTCCGCCCCTTACCTAGATTCCGGGAAGCGCGGACTCGATTCAGCCAAGCCTCTCGCCTGATGACCGGCCGGGGTTGCCTCCGCGGAAGCTTGCAAAACCGCGATTCACTGGTGACTGGTGAGTGTAGACGCTAGCATCGTTCGGAGGAGATGGGCCGTGGGCCGTGGCACGCCGTGCCACAAGCCTTCCAGGCTACGTGCCGTCTATAACCCGATCAATTCAAATAGGCTCTGAATGTTTAAACAAAAACAACGGTGCAAGGCAACACTCGCTTCTCTCAGACCTTCCCAACTCTGTTTTTTTTTTGAAACTTTAAAAAAAAGTAGTGTTTAGTTTACCGCTTAAACTTGTCGCTAGATTTAGAAAACACCCTCGAACCTGAATGGCGGACAATTTACCTCACTTAACTTCTAAAACGAAATAAAAATACATCCCTTTGACCATTTAATACCTCCAAACTAAAAGACAAACAAACACATGCGTTGACGTCGAAAGTGATCAGAATCAAATACCAAAGGGCATTGGACGCCTAGGCCGCTACGAGCCGAAGAACGCAACGAATATATCGCTCTTACGTGGCGTAGCACGGAGAGGTTTACGAGCAAACCACCAAAGGAAAACCAATCATGCTTTCGGAGCGAAGAACCGGCTAGTTTTCGAACAAACTAGCAAAGGAACCGTCGAAGCTCTCGCCCGGGAGGGACCCTGATGAGGACATCGCCATGCTGGACACACCGACGCCATGGTCTTCCCCAAGTTGCAATTCGTTCCCAACTCAGCTGCCACGTCGCCCTCGGATTCAGCAGACACGTCGTCACTGTTTCGGTCATAACTTTCTCATACCACATCGAAACGGGCCGTTCTTGGATGCATTGGAAAGGGGACGACGACTCCGTCGTTTTGGATCTGGTCCCAGCTCCAGAAGGTCCGTGGATCATTCTGTGTGACCACGGCAAGGTGCTGCGTCACCTATTTGGGCCAACTTGGCCATGTATCGTGTCGGGCCTTAAGCTCAAGTTGTGGGCCCCCCAACCCCTGGCCGTCCCCAACCCTAGGTCGAGTCTTAGACTATAAACATAGCCGCCGCCGCTGCTACACTATTGGGTTTTGTTTAGAGTTTAGTTTTCCATCGAGAAACTGAATCGTTCATTGTAACTGTGGTGATAAATCCTTTTACAGTGATCCAGGCCCCCGTTCTTGATCTCATCCACTGTGTCGATTAGTCCTTTGGAACCGAGTTCTTGAATCCTCTATTGATATTCGCGTCATTCATATTTGCAATTTCAGATTGCGTGTTTTATCTTCTTGCTTGTGCTCTTCGATTCGCTTGCAGGAAAAGCCTTCTTGGCGAGGTCAATCAAGTTGTGCTTGGTTGATAACCACCGGAGCAGTGGTGTAACGGTTGCAGGGTTCGAATCGTGTCTGATTTGAAGCCGGATCGCCAACGTCGAGATCTCCACAAATCGAACTTACCGGCTACCTCTCGGAAGATCGGGCCTGTACTCATCAGACCCGTCAGGGCAAGGACGTCGCCGGGTTGTCCTAGGTTGGCCAGCAAGCCTAGGACGCCATCCTTGATTGCCTGGATCAAGAGATGAACAACATCTAGAAGGTTGAGGAGAGAATTAGGGTAAAAAGAGAGATATGTTGTGTTTTTGGTTCGATTGATTGGATGGGATCAATCGGCCATGATCCTCTTATATTTATAGAGGGGGTGGTCTTATCCTAGTAGGAAACAATCCCAAATCACAATCTCCAAGTTCCCTACGCTTAAAACTTACCAAAACATGATTTTAGATCAAATCGGTTTGGAATACAGCCTCGACCCGACTTAGCTCGTTTTTACGAGGAGGGACAAGTCACCCAGCCAGCCAGGCAACTGACCCGGCTAAGCCGGCTGGTGACCCAGCCTAGCGGGGTGTGAGAGGAAAACCGGCCTAGCCGGCTTGATGACCTAGCTAGGCTGGCTTAGGCATGAGGGGCCGGCCTAGCCGGCTAGGCAACCCGGCTAAGCCGTCTGGGCTGGCTCGCTAAGGCTCGTCGTCTTCTCCGCGTGTTTCATTGCTCCGCTTGCGATGCCGTTCGACCTCAACCATGTCCAAGGCCATTATAACTTATTTAAATTGCCCAAAACCATCCCAGATGTTTTTAGTGTCGGGAGGCACTATTTTCAGGCTGAGAACAGCCTAAGTCGGCTTAGTCGGCTTGGAGACCCGGCTAAGCCGACTGACAGATTAAAATTTCGGCTGAAATCTTCCGAAAATCATAATTAATTTATTCGGACTCCAAACGAGGCAAACCATATGTGTTTTTCGATCAGCTCGACGAGGCGAACGCAATGGTGCAGTCCATTCTTACATTTGAGAAAGTTGATCAAGTCGGCTTAGCCGACCTAGGGGGCCGGCTAAGCCTGCTCTAGTTGGTTCAACACCCAAAACGTGGATTTCTTTGTCCAAGCGTCAAATGTGATGATCTGAGGATTCTCTCTGGCCTTCTTGACGACAGAAACACAATGATAAGGTCCATTATACCCTCTACACAATTTTGGGTGTCAACACATGTCCCCTGCTTTTTAGTAAAGCTTGCGTATAAAAAAGCATACTTTCAAGCCAAAATTATCCCTTTGCTGCTGTCTTGCGCAGAAATTTCATCAACGCGTGCTGTTTGCTATCCTAAACTTATCTAGAATATCATCCTCAGCCTTTTAGATGAATGATGCATGATCCCGAGAACACCGATATCCATTACATCGGTTGTTGAGCGGCTAAGGGCGATGTATACATCGACCGTTTTTGTACTAAGGGCGACACATGTATCGGCCATTGCTTGGAGAGCACTTAGACTTCTTGTCAAACACTTGGAAAATATCTTTTCAAAGCACTTCCCGTTAATTGCTCTTGGGAGACTACTAACATTGTCTCCAGCAGATATCAGTTTTCAAACATCGCTTTGATCACTCTATATGGATTTTCCAACTCGATGAGTTTGATCAAAGTTCATAGGCTTCTCCCATATCCATCCTTGTTCCATCAAATTCCAAACACACCAGCAACAAATCTTCGGCAGTTCTTTCATATAGCTCATAGTGCAAAACTTGATTGTACTCCACCGAATATTTTTCACCTTTGGCATTTGGATTATGTTCATATTGCAATATGGGAGTTCTCTAATCCTCTAAATCGGTTCCAGAACCATCAGAAATTGATTCGGACCAATTTAAGGCGCTCTTGGGTGAAATAGCAGCGTTGACTGCCTGGGAGTCGGCTTGGCCGATTGTGTCAGTCGGCTAAGTCGACTGGGAGGTGATGGCCACCTGAAAACCGGCCTGACCGGCCTGCTGACCCGGCTTGGCCGGCTCCACTGCTGCTGGACCACCCTGGCCGGCCTGGCCAGCTGAGGGACCCAGCCTAGTCGGCTCCCACTTGCCCTGGCCGACTGGACACTGCAAACCGGCTAGGCCGACTGGAATAGTCGGCTTAGTTGGGTTCCCTGCACCTGCACAACAAAAACCAAGATTCTGATGCATCGGCATTTCTTAGATATGAAAATTACGTCCACCGACGTCAAAGTCAGATGCTTGTTGAGCTAACATGTTGGCCTTTCGATTTTCATGCCTTGAAAAATGTCAAACCCAAAATCCGTCCAATGTATTAATATCAAGGCATATGTCATGATGAATATCAAATGGTGACCTCTTTTAAATGTTGAACCTTGGTAGCCACTTGTTGTACCATCAACAAGAAATTACTGTTGGCCTTAACATGTTTTACCTGTATGGAGTGCAATATTGCCAAACCGAATAAAAGCATTTAGCTTGAATATTGGTGAAAATATAATTCTAATCGGCTTGATGTCTCAAATAGCGCATATTATGATAAACAATAATTATGCCAACACCTTGACCATCTTTGCAAGCCGATTAATAAAACCTCCATAGGTAAGAACAAATAATTGATCTTATATCCTTATTTTGGGACCAAAAAGACATCAATCGATATAGATGAAAACAAATCCTTTCCTTTTGTCTTCTTGAATCAAATTAACACCAATGCACCCTCTTTGGCAATAATATATAGTCTAAATGGAGCTCTACTTCTAGATGCACGAAGAACTGATGATGTTGATAAAGAATCCTTGAGAAGCTCGATTAACTTAATTTATAATTGTCTTCTAAGTTTTGTCTTGCATGCATCGGTCGTAGTGTAATGCCAATTTCAATTTGCCCACATGAGTTGGCCGACGCGAACCA